AACACTATAGAAGAAAAACCTTGTAGAAAACAACTATTGTCCTATTACCTTGTTATCACAATTATGTGAGATATAATAATGAACCGACTGACCAACAAAATGGACGTAGAGGATATGTTAGAAACTATCCAAGAGCTACCAACACCAATCCTTTTCAGACTTTTCGTACTCTCATTGGAAACATTACGAAGTATAATATATCATAACAGTTGGCCATTGTGGTTTACCAGAAGGTCTTTGACTGCGTCGAAAAATTTCGAAATTCTGAAATCGTCGTTAGAGACAAACGCTACGATATACAAAGCCTTATGAATGAAACAAAATGATGATGCAACTATCCAAATGAAAATAGATGAAAATCTAGAAACTGTAGAGTAGTGAGAGAAAGGGACACATTCTCATTAAAATTGTTCATACCAGTCCTTGAGTATGTTTCCACAAAGTTAGGCTGGCAAAACATCGGGAGACCAAACAGACCTCAGAGATGAGGAATGGATGACATACAAAAATATCGAGGATCCAGACTGCTAAAGATTGAAGGGCTTTGAGGAATTTGGCAGAGAGGTCGTCATTAAGGAATCGACAAGATGAAAAGAGGAGAAAAACATTAGTTTTTATAGAAGTTTGTATCTGGATTTTGGGACACTCTGTTGATACTTTAAAGAATAACCCAAGCAGCAAGGGGTAGTTGAATCAACGTTGATTAAAGATTGATTGATGTCGTAGGCGTTGATATACCAAAAATCAACGTCGAATGGCCATTATGAAGACAACGTATTCGTCAACGTATTCTAAGCAAAGTCTATTCAACGTTGAATATAGGTTGCAGGAGACATTGCAATTTTGAAAAAATAATTTGAACCCATTGGTACCAAAGTATTTATCAAATCTAGACTAGGTATAGCAACATAGCAACTTTGAATAGTTATAACACTATGGTTTTTTTCTGTTCGATTTACCCCATCACTAGACATTGAATAAACGTTGAATGGAGGTTTAAAATGTTTTTTGAAATAAATATACGTTATTATTAAAATTTAAGATATCAATAAAAAAACAGATATTTATTATTATATATCTTAATGGATGCAGGTTTAATGTTTAAAGTTCCAACATTCGACATGAAATAATATATACGTTGCTTAAAAGTAGATAAAGTTGTGTCTCCATGCAAATTAATTCAAACTTCCCGCTAAGGTGCATCGCGTCCCGCCATTCGCCGCCAGCGCCCTCTGCGCCCAGCCCATCATTGCATTGGCGTCTGGCCGCTGGCGTCATCACGTTCATCGCGTCATCCTTCCTTTTCACTCATTTTTTTGTTAATTTTGTGTAAATTTAAAATTATTGAAGGTGTAAAAGGTGTTATTATTTTTCTCATTGTGTGTCTATTAATGTGCCCAGCCTGGATTTAACTTCGATTGGTGGAAAATGGTGGTAGGCGTATGTATACTTCTCAATTCCTATTTAGGAGCAAGCCAGTTGACTTTTAACAATTCTCCAAATCATGTTTTATTTTGATCAAATTTGTGCACCTTTACTGTTTCGATATATTAAATTTTGTGTCAAAGATTTTGTGTTTATTTAAAAAAGTTTTGGAATAAAGTACCTATAACCTCAAACATTTTGATGATTTTATTTTATTTGAAAACTGTTCTGACAGACCCAACTATAGAACAAATTTCATAAGACGAAATTTGATTTAAAATGTCTTATGAAGCATGTTCTTTGTACTTTTTTTTCTGTTTCAAGTTATAAAAAAAATAAAGGTTGAGCTAAACCTCAGGCTCAACGTGAAATCTGACGTCTCGAATACATCTGATGAACGTTGTTATAAGATTGAGGCCAACGTAAAAAACGACGTTAGTTCAACGATCACATTCAACGTTGTCTCAATTATGACATTGTGCCGTCCTGTCAACGTACATTCAACACTGTTGTTACAACGTAATGCAATGTTGGGAAGTATCGTACTTTCAACGTTATATCGACCAAACCTTGCTGCATGGGAAATAGGTAGTTAAGTTGAATCCAGTTTTGGTGTGGTCAGTTACCAATATGTGTCTATAATCCTGTTTTCTACATCCAGTGCAAGGACTAATTTCTATAGACATAAAAATCGATATCGATTTTAATACGATATCTCAATGTACAATAGGTGTGTTTGTTATATCCGTGTAGGGTAGGTCAGTGCAGGCTGCTGGTGTAGCTCATGGCCACCAGGGTAAAGGAAAACTACCAAACACAGTGCAGTTCGTGAAGCGATAGAAGCGGATATCTAACCTCAAAAAAATTATTATTAGGGTAAATTAAAGTGGAAAATGGAAACTAACCCAGAAAAAATGTCCAATATTAACGAAAAAGATAACATATTTACAAGGTTTTATTGTCGGAAATTATAGAGGAAGTCGGAAGATGAAGAAGATTCCTCAGATTCCCTATCTTCCAGCTCTGACGACAAAATAAATTCATGCAATTGCACTTTTGTATTTGTACTTTCACTACTCATTTTTTAGAGCATATCAATATATTTCATCTAACATTTAAGATTTAATTTCTAATGGCGATTTCGACTGGATTGCACATTCGCACCCAGTGCGAACTTTTTTTGGCAATTGACGTGTAAAGTATTGTTTATCTGTCAATTTTTAAAAAAAGTTCGCACTGGGTGCGAAAGCGCAATCCAGTCGAAATCGCCATATAATAAATCTTATTTTAAGGTTTCAGGTTAGGAGCAACAAACAAAACAAAACAACAACATTGCCCCCTCCCCATTCTGCACTTGTTACACCTCCTCTTGAGCAGGTGTAGGTAGTGCATGATTGGGCACCCTACACTGAGATAACAAACGCCTTACACTATTTGCACTAACCGCATAACAAACGCCTTAGTGCAGAAAAGTGTAAATTATTGTGCACTAGTGGAGGATAACAAACAGACCTAATGTGATCTATTATAAACGTCACCTTCTCCTAACTTTTTCATTTGACAAAAGTGTCAATATAAATACAAAAGTTTTGAGAAATTTTCAAAAGTTTTAAACAAAGGCTGGTTCCGGTAATTGCATCTGCGAGCAAAATGAGAAAAATTTGACATACCTATGTTACGTGATTTGACACGTGAAAAAAGATAAGTGATCACGTGACGTCCGTCAAAATTTGCTCTTTTTGCTCGCAGATGCATTAACCGAACCCAGCCATAGTCAGTTTTAATCATACAGGGGGCGTCAAAAAGGTAGGAGTGCGAAATTATTATTATTTTTTTCAAATGGAACATTGTACCATGTATACCGGGTGGTCCTCCGGGAATGACATCGATTGCTTATCGGAAAACTGTGAAAGGTAAAAATTTGAAAATTTGGCAACATAGCAATGTCGATGGGGGACATCTAGGTAAAATATTTTCAAGATGGCGGCATTTCCGGTCATACCGGAAGTTGATACCAACTCGGTTATTTTAAATAGAACACCCCATATATTAATGTATTTTTGGATTCTACATAAAATTCTGAGCAGATTTCATGTAATATACCCTATACCTAAGTTCAACTGTTTTGGAAATATTGACAGTTGAAAATTGACTTTTTGCAACTTTGACAAGCTGTAAAACCTAATTGGTTAATTTTAGAGGAAAACCGATTTCACATTCCTATCTTAGATTTTGATAAACTATCATTTGACACCAACTTTGAACTTAAACGGAGATTAAATTTAACTGAAATTTTTAATCATGGATTTAATTCAAAGTTGATGTCAAATGATAGTTTATAAAAATCTAAGATAGGAATGTCAAATCGGGTTTCCTCTAAAATTAACTGTTCAGGTTTTACAGCCTGTCAAAGTTGCAAAAAGTCAATTTTCAACTGTCAATATTTCCAAAACAGTTGAACTTAGGTATAGGGTATATTACATGAAATCTGCTCAGAATTTTATGTAGAATCCAAAAATACATTTATATACGGAGTGTTCTATTTAAAATAACCGAGTTGGTATCAACTTCCGGTATGACCGGAAATGCCGCCATCTTGAAAATATTTTACCTAGATGTCCCCCATCGACATTGCTATGTTGCCAAATTTTCAAATTTTTACCTTTCACAGTTTTCCCATAAGCAATCGATGTCATTCCCGAAGGACCACCCTGTATTGACAATTTCATTTCTTTTCATTTCAATTCCAAAAAATCGGGGTGTATAACCCTGTATAAACACTGTTTTTGAGATGTTTGGTCTTCAATGTGAGGATGACTCTAAAACAACAACAAAAAATCCTTGTCGATACCTACCTTATAAAAAAACGCTGTTGGGCACTTCCAACGAAGGACCTTATTTCAACATATTCTTTGAAAATGTTCAGCTCAGCCATCCTTACTTTCATTTGTGAAAACCTCCTATCGTCAGCCTCTGTGAAAAATATTTCTTCTCGAGTTGAAACACCATAGCCGTCATTTTTCCTCTTCTTATTCAGCTTCAGGCACTTGTATATGTCAATTTTATCTTCAACAGATAAAACGGATTCAAGCATAAAATCATCGCTGGATAAACTTGCAGGTGATTTGACCATCTTGAAATTCTTCACAAAGTAGGCAAGCATAGTGTTTTTTGTCACTTCTTCACCATTCAACATGTTAAGCCTGGTTTGAAAACTCTTATAGGCATTTTGATACCATTCTTTGGATTTTTGAGGCGCAAGAGTTGTACAACTGTAATCTGTAGCTGTATTATTGAACATTTTATTAATTTTTTTTTGGTAAAAATCTCTTGAGCAATCAAAAACTAAGGTATTTTAACACTGACACCGACTGACAACGTTCAGACGTTTATTTAAAAATCAAGCAAATAACTATAGGAACCAATGTCAATATTCACTTAAATTAAGTAGGTACCTGCTGAATTATACATTTCTCAAAAGAAAGCAACTATGTTTTTTGAAGATAGAAAACCGTAGAAAAATATATTACAACTTGGGATAAGGTAGGTACTGTTCTTAGTAGCAAAAATAAATATTACAGAATTAATAATTAAGTTTATTATTGGAATAAGACTAGGAAATAAATACAAATAGGTATTGTGTTAACGTTTGCAAATATAAATATCACAACAAACTATAATTATTAAATTCAAAAAATTGCAGATAAAAACAAAACGAAACAAATGCACACTCTATACTAGATAGCTTTCTGCTAATATTCGAAAAACAATCAGATTTCTTTCTTATTTATTTTGGATGGCCTAATTGTTGCTGCAATATGCTTAATTTCTACCTCTAATAATTGATTATTTCAACCAGATGCATAGGTCTGCAACATCTTATTCCATTCCTTGGGGAAATTGATTTGTACGTAAGCTAGTACTTTTTTGATTTGCTTCTTTTCGGATTCAGTGCAGTCAGGGCAGGTTCCTCGAAGTACCAATGGTGCCACACCTGAAAAAACATAATAATATGTGAAGTAATTAGAGGGTTAAAATAAATAAAACCATTCTAGAGAACCTCATTTTCATCTTTGGGCATTTTTAATGAGAAAAAAAAAGTAGCAATTAACCTAGGAGTTCATAGAGTCTCGGATAAGTCATTAAAACTTACTGTGGTATAATAAAAGCAGGTATTGGTTTACATGGGAAACCACCAAAGAATATTATCATAACTAATGCGTGTGAAGCATACAATGTTGGAGAATTTTTCATAATAATTATAAGTATACTTCCTATTAATTTTTTTTTTAAAGTCGTTTATTTGTTTTTGCAACTCGTATAACGCTTTCTCGGAATTGGAGAAAGCACCTTGAATGGCGGTTGTACTCTGCACGGCTATTAAATATATAATCCGAATCTTATGCAATATCAAGATACAAATATTTTATTCATTTATGGTACCAAGAATCTTCAGATATTTTTGGCCGGCATTTTGCAATAAAAATTAATTTTTGAGAAACAGGTAGCTTACTTTTAAGTCGTCTTCCTACAGGATCGCAAGGCGCTTCTCCTACAGCGCATTTCAACAGCCTTTGAAGGTACCTTTTATCGCTTAGGGTTTTTTCTAGAGCTTCGTCGGTTATTGGTTGTCTTGTTGTGGTATCGTACTTTTTGGAACCTTCGCCCGCCGATGTTAAACAGATGAAAGTTGTGAGGAATACGGCAACGGCTAAGATTTGGATCTAAAAAAAAAAACACAATACTTTTTATACCATAACATGGCATTTATAGAATGCTGAACAATGTTAGAATACTCCTGGTGATTATCCCAAGACTCTGTCATCAAAACTTTCTTACAAGAAAAAATTTCTGATACTCCAAGTTTAAATTCATTTCATGGGTGGACATTGAACAACAGAATTCGGACACTTGGATATCGTATCGAGGAATGGATCTGCAAATGATCTTGAACCTACTAAAATGTTTGCTATTTCATTATGAGGGTTAAAGATGAGAATGAATGAAAATGAATATGCCCCATTGGTTCTCACGTGTCTCCAAAAGAAAAAAAATCCAGTGGGTTAAAATCTGGGGATCGTGTAGGCTAATGGGCCGGAACGCGTTTGCAGGTTTTTGAATTTTTAATTAAAACTTATGATGTATTTTTCAATAATACTCCCTTGCCAAAACGCTACTTTCCTCCAGGAGGTCACAGACTTGAATGACTTTTTCCATTGCCGATATCAATTTGTGGTATAAACTGTGGACCCCCCAAGGCTATCATGACTAATTATGAGAGCTTTTAAACAAAGTGTGCTTTTCTTGAGGAAAGCCATCGCTGACAACCCTTACTCCCACAAGATTTTTAGATGCAATGTGACGCTACGTGCCAGTATATTATTCCATGTGCAAGTAATAAAGAATTATGAATACAAATGATTTTTTTTTATAATTCCAAGGTTTCTTTATAAATGGTTTTGCCCAACCCAAACTTAAAATGTATAAGTATAACTATATTTTAATTTTTTAGCGGAAATTCGGTGATAGGTATTGGGTAACTCATTGGAAATATGCATGATTTTGCATTTTTTTTTCTAATTACATTTTTACGGTCTTGCGAAAACAAAATTACGAACAAGGTTAAAGCCTTTGTTGTTTTTTAAAACATACAATATCTACTTAATATGCGTTGAAAGTATATTATGCTTGTGTTTTTATGATGATGTCAACGTATGTGTGTAAGTACCTATAAGTAGGTTTTTAATAAATGCAACAGCCTATTATAATAGTTCTTTTGCAACCAAATAGTTTTATTGGTTCTTGTTTTATAATAATACCCTAGCTCTTTGAAAATATAGCTAAATAGGCTATAATGGTTGAAGAATGTGCAACTACATCAACCCATGAAATTTGGAAAAAACACTGCTGAACTGAATTATGTAGAAATACAACTGATCTTAGTCTGATACCTGGAATATTATTTTATAATCTAGCCATGAAAATTTTCATCAAAAAGCAACTTTGCTTGAAGCAACATCATTATAACATAATTCCTGTTACAGCAGAATATCAGGAAGTAGCAATATTAATAACAAACCTCTAGCTGAACGATGAACAAAAACTTATAATAAAAAAAAACTATTCACTCAGACATTATTATGTTGAAAAGTCGTTAATGAGGCAGATTTCTTGAATATAAAAGATGATTTTTATCATGTGCATCAAGAAATTATACTTTTCTACATGCAAAGAATAAGAAATTCAGTAAAATTTCATTTCAAAAGGACTTTTGCCATCGATTTAAGCCCGTAATTGTCATGTGAAGTATAATTGCCTAACTATCTAAGTATAATTTTTTTCACACATACATACATGAATATGAAATTCGAAAAAATATATGTCAAGTAGGTACTTTTTATCAAAATCCAGCTTTATATTATATAAAAAAATCTACGTTGTACTTAGATACTATTTTTAATGAAACAAATTAAAATGTTGTTGATGTTACAAACCTTTAAGTCAGTCTTCATTTTCAATCAATAAGAACCTTCCACAAGACACTCGCACACGTTATTGAATGCACTTGAAATTTGAAGAACACCGATGGTGTTCTTTATAAAAAGTGAAAGTTTCTTGTGTTATTTGACGGCTATTATCGCATAAGATTTCGTTTATTTAGTTGAAAGTGGGTACTGAAACTGCCACTATTGGTATTGGTATATATATGATATAACCGTTTTTAATAGTTCGAGTTAAGGTACGTACGTGACGTACATTTTTATTGCCGTTAATAAAATTTTATACGGAATATGCTTATTATAAGTACCTACTGACGGGCATACTTGAATTCAACCACAAATCAGGTAGTTGCAGTAATTCTACCCTTGAATTCGGCCAAAGATCTACGAGGACTACGAACTGCCAAATCCCGACCCTTTCAATATTATAGAAGGGACTTTCATCAACATTCAGCTGACACAGCACGATTTGATACTAGGATCAGTGCACAAGAGCCCACGAAAAATCCTAACACCTCAGTCTATTTCTGCGATGTTTGATGTTGATGATCGCATTCTTATAGGAGGCGATCTGAATGTGAAATCTAGAGATTGGGGATGCAGGGCTTCCAAAACATACGGTGCCCGCTTGAATATTCTTGCGGACACCTTCAATTTCACTATATATTCGCCTCACGAAGCCACCCAATTTTCTCCGCAGGGTCTCCCCGAAATTCTGGACATTTTCGTCGCTAAAAACACCGATCGTGTTTCGGAACCTACCGTCATCCACGAGCTGACCTCTGACCATCTCCCAGTAATCGTCGAGTATGGAGACTCAAATCTTGCCTCACAAGGGCGCATCGAGATAAATCACATAGATTGGGCTCGATACCTAGGACTGCTGGGGGACGTCGTGGCCAACTCTTTCAATAACATCGGAAACGCTCAACAGTTGGATGAAGCGGTGGGCTCACTGACTAGAGAGATCCACCTGATGGCTCTCGCTATGTCCACTGTGAAGAAAATGTCCAGAATCACAAAATATGGAATCCTGCCCCCTGCCCCATCCGCTTGAAAAATCGTATTCGGAAAAGGGCCTATCAGACGAGCGACCCGGCTTTGAGGAGGCAAGCAAATCGGCTTTCTAACAATATCCGCTCTCTTCTCAAAGAACATTACAATGACAACTTCATACGGTATCCAGCTGAAATCTCCACCGATAATAACACGGCTTATAAAACAATCAGACGCCTAATTAGAGGTGCCTATCGCCCCCTTCCAAATTAGTTGGTTAGTGAAAACCCAGTGCAGAACCCTGTCAAGGAAAACTCGGCAATGCTACTTACAACATTTATGAAAGCATGGATTTTAACCCTGACCATCACCTTGTCACCGTCGCGGAGGTGCAAAGTATCCTTTCAGAATTGAATGCCAAAAAAGCTCCAAGTCTGGATGCTGTTCCCAACAAAGCTTTGAAAAACGTCCCAGAAAACATAAAATCCATTTTTTGCAACATTACCAAAGCTACTTTTTCGCTCGGCCACTTTCCCCTTACGTGGAAGGAGGCTAAGGTAATTCTGATTAGGAAGAGAAGTGAAAACCCAAAACACATCTCTTCCTACAGACCCATTAGTATCCTTTGAAATATTGGAAAGGTGGTCGAAAAGGTCATTCTGGGACGTTTGCAGGAGCATGTTGAATTAAATCACCTTCTTCCCCCCGAACAACTGGGTTTCGTTTCTGGGTTGGGAGCAGTAACCAGACCACTCGCATGGCTTCTCAAATTCTGAAAGGATTCAACAGGAGCCATATATTTGGATATCTCCAAAGCGTTTAACAAGATATGGCACAGGGCCCTCATTATCAAAATGATAAGGCTTGCCTTCCCCAGGTACCTCACCAAAATAATCAACAGCTACCTCCAAAATAGGAGGTTTTTGGTAGAGTCCGACCGGCAACGCTCAGCCTTTTATGACATAAGGGCGGGAGTCCCCCAAGGTTTCCCAATTTCTCCAATTTTATTTAACATCTTTACCAGTGACATTCCGAGGAGTATACATACTCAGCTCTACCTCTTCGCGGACGATACCGCCATCCTTTCCAGGCGAATATGCGAACGCATCATTCTAATAAGATTAAATCGACATATGTCCGAAATAGAGAGATGAATGGCGGATTGGAAAATCAAACTCAATCCCGCGAAGACTAGAGCTATTATGTTTACTCGTCGGAGACCAACACTGAATCAAAGGCTGAGAGTTGCCGGTATGCCAATAGACTGGTCCAGTAAAGTGAGGTACCTGGGCCTTATCTTTGACAGGGGTCTGTACTGGGCAGACAACACGGTAGCAGTTGTGTCAAGGGCAAAGGCACAAATTGCTTCCTTATACCCCCTTCTGAATAAAAATAGCCTGCTCTCAATCAACAACAAAATTACGCTTTACAAATCTATGATAAGATCAATTATTACCTATAGGGGGCGACCTGGGTCACCAGTGCGGCGACTCAATTCAAAAGATTCAGAATAGGGTACTGAAGATCATCGTGGACGCGCCCATGTACACCCGTACCCAAGTGCTCCACGACGATCTTCAGATCGACACAACTGTTTGTCGCCAAGTTTGTCGCCAACCTTTTGACCAATTACTACCAAAAGGTGGACGAAACCCACCCTATTCCCTAAAATTTCAGCATTTTTTCCACTAATTTAGAGGCCCTCAGCCATTTTTTTTTTTACTTTTTAATTGTTATTAACATTCATCTTACTATCAATTAATAAGGTTCACTTTGAACTGAACCTCGTTGAGATCCAATATCGCTACGATGAACCGTTTTCGACTTAGAGCGGCTTAAAGTTAAGAACGCCTCGGTTGTGACGTCACATCGGCTTCGGAGGCACAGCTTCAATACGTGTAAGAATTTTCGAAAACAAACGTCCACGGTCTCGCTGGACCGAATTGCAACCACTCAAATTATAGGGCAGGGTTCACTGAGGACGAACAGAAGGCTGCGATTTCGGCGTTTAGCCGGTGTGTCACAAGTTCTCGCAAAATTTATCTCCATAAGCGATTTTCTCGGATACTATTTTGGAATACAGGACTGCGGTTTTCACGAGAGATCTTAGATTTTTTTTTCTTGATTTGAGTAGCTGTTTGTTTTTTTGGGTCACACTCCCTCGAGAGGAAATGAAGCAACTGAAAGGAGAAAATCTTTTAGTGACGCAAAAATTGGAAATGCTGGAGACAAGAATAAATAACTCAGAACAAAAGGAGAGAGAAAAACTAGGTGGTCACTGGAATTACAGAATAAGGGGAAAAACCAGAAATATCGGTATAACACTTATGCTTGTATGCACCATCGCACAAATTCTCTGATTAAGACTTTAGCCGTGATTACATAATATTTTTCTTATGCACCAAGCGTTTTTTTCTCCTAATCGGCAAATAATTGTTGAATCGCCCGATGGCCTGGAATTAGGACTAGATAACCGCGGCTAGTTGAGGTTTGGATGTTTTGTTTGGTTCCGATTTCAATAATTTCATGTTTACATTTTGGTCAAAAAAAAACTGAAGAAATAGTGCTAGTGAGCAGGCAGAAATGAAATAAGGAATATGGAAGGTGGAAGCCGGGAGCCGCAAACGGCTGTCGCGCAAATGACACAGAGCCGGGAACCGTACATTTCACTGTCAGGATTCTGCGGAAAACGTAAAGAGGAAACCTTATTTTGATGCCTTGGATGATCGTTTCTTCCGTCGGTTCAGCCTCACGAAACCGACAGTGGTAGATTTTCTTGAAGAGGCTTGATGCCCCAACTTATGATAATAGGGTATAGTAATACATCTTATGCAATTTTATGGTTTGAGTCCAATAGCTATGACTATGTAATCACTGTCTATTTCAAATGAAATGCATTTGTGACAGACATAATGGGTATCGAACCGACTTTTTAACCGTGATTAAATAGGTAATTAGCCGTGATTAGCTAATTGAGAAAATACGTGAATATGGTGCATACAGGCATCAAAGTTGATGTTATTGATGGTGAACTCTCAGATATCTTGATATCTACCGTGTGAATACGAGAAATTATTTCCCTATAAAATTCAAAAATATGAGTGCAAAACAATAAGTACCTAGTCAACAAGGTGAAGGGAGCTTAAAGGCCTTAAAGTAAAAGAATAATGTGGTTTTGCAAAAAAAGCCCGAGAATATGAGAAAAACAATAAACTTAATGCATTCTATGTGGCTGATGTGTGGAACTGAAACCTTAAACTGTGATTAAAAAAAAAGACTGAAAATGGATGAGGTTAATGATTTGATATAGTGATGCCACGAGACGAGACGAGACGAGATTAGCGGTTGATCTCGTCTCGTCTCGCCTGAGCATCAATCTCGTCTCGCCTCGACCCCGAGGGTATCTGTGCTACAAGTGTACCAGCAGAAAGACTTTTTTCAAAAGCAGGCCTAATCACTCGAAAACATAGAAATCGGTTAAATTCCGAATCTGCAACGTCTCTATTATGCTTAAATTCATGGTTTACTTGTAGTTTGAAAGATAAACTTTGAAACTATTATATATTTGAAAAATATCTGATATAGTCTAGGAGGCAGTGAATATTTTCGGTACTTATTTTCGCAGTCGGTAAATATGAAATAGTTTGTTCGGATGGTGACAATAAACAACAATCTGAAATTTTTGGCTGGGTTCACTTTATAGAAAAAAAAACAAGTCCACCTATTTTCCCAGTCATAAACGTTTGGCATTTACTAAAGTAGGTAATTTTTTTAATGGAAATAACAGCATGGCATGTCCCAAGTGAAGGAAAGTTTGTCTGGCTGAAAATTTGCGGTTTTTCAGTTTTTCACCTGCCAGACATATTACCCATACTCTCACAAATCAGCCAGACTATTTTTTTTCTTATGTTGGTTATATCTTTTACTATTAGAACTATTTTCATCACTGGAAATACGAGTGCAGTAAATTTGTCTTTTCTTCGGTATTTTCTAACGCATTTTCCTCCTTAACCCATCGAAACCCCTCCCCCCTACATATATGAATTTTCCTTAGAATAACCAACCGGATAATTCTATCGGTGTTTGCTGACTGGGAAAATAAGTACGGAAAAAAGTCACTGCCTCCTAGACTAATACTGATGATTATTCTAATCATAAATAAGTTACCTACCTACTCGTTAAGTTAGTAGTGAGAAAGTCAGAAACATTAGATAGGTATTAGGGTAGGTACTAAATATATTTAATTTTTTTAGAAATTTTTAATTTTTTCGATAAAATTCATTTAACAGGAATAAATACAAAAATATGGTGTTTTATTTTTCACAATCTTGAAGAGAATTTCATTCATCTGTCAAAACTGGTATTCCAACCATAAACTGGCATGTTTTAATTGTTGATTTCAACCAATCAGATTGCGATTACGTGATAATTTGCAGGATTATCGGATAATTGCACACTAACGGGTGGCATTTGACATTTTTTGTGACCAGTTTTTATACTTACGAGGGTATACTTACTAAAAATTCAAATTTTTGATTCATGGAATTCTCTCATAAAATACAACTCGAGCAATGAAAATATATCTATAATTTTTGACAAATTTGCACACATGCATTTTCAACTGAAAAAGGCACTTGTGCTCTTGGTCAACTGAAAATGCATTCGGGAAAATTTGCCAAAAATTTTCGATAATTTCCATTGCTTTCGTTATATTACCATCGAATAAAAGATTTCCTGTAGGTAGCTCCTTTGAAACATTATTGAAAAAGAAACTAAAACGATTATTTGAAGGACGAGACGAGATTAGTCGAGAATCTCGTCTCGTCTCGCTTCTTTTAGTCTCGTCTCGAAGTCGAGACTAAATGACCTGGAGACGAGACGAGATTAGGGCGAGACGAGACGAGACGAGACGAGAGTGTCATTTTAGTTTCGTCTCGCGGCATCACTAATTTGATACTTCAAAATACTGCAGTTATCGATCTCATTAGTGGCTACAGACACAAAAATATGTATAGCAGTGCACAATTAGGACTTTTAGGAGCATTTGGGGTGGCGGCGGTAGTGTTTATATAAGAGAAGAGCTGCAGTTTGTACAAAATAACAGGAACGATGTATGTACAAATGGAAATAATGGAATACAGTAACATTGCATCTTTTTATTTACCAAAATATAGGCTTTCTGTCTCTGGGATATACAGAACGCCACAAAGCAACGTCTAAATTTTCCTAACAGAATTTGACAGGCTACCTGAACAATAGAAAAACACATGTGTACAGTGGGAGATTTTACTCTTGACTTGTTGAAACGCTCTCAAACTATCGATAGGTACTTAACTGCAAAAATCTAATTATTGGAATGAATATTTTTAAAGTGCAAAATATACCACCAAATGCAAACAGTACAACAAAAAATATATCATCCATCATTGACCATGCTTGTGATAACAAATAAATGCTCAACCTTTAACATAAAACTGCAAGACCGTTGCCTTTCAGATCACAAAATAATGTATATTGAAGTGAAGAAGGAAATAGGTAAGCACGTGTAAGTAGGTATGACGTAAGAAGAGAAAATAGAAAAACAATATCTTATAGAAAAAGCTTGTGAAACAGAAACTTTTCAAGAACTCACAAAGATTATTGCTGAAACTGAAAAGGAATGTACAGAAGAGAGTAACTCTGAAAAGTTTTTGAATTACACAAGAGTATGTAACTAAAATAAGAGAAAGAGACAAAGCTATACGTTACATGGAAGAGAGTACAAAATGAAAAAAGTGAAAGAGAATTTAAAGAGCTAAAAAGACACTAAATAATCTAGGAAAAAAACTACAAAAAATATTGCAGAGATGAGGTTTGAACAGGTTAAGGGAAACTCTAAGAGAGCCTGGGCATGAACGAGTTATGCAACCGGAACAGAAGCAAAAATAATGATATAAATAAAATAAAAAACGTAATTGGGAGAACAGTAGAAAAAAATAAAGTGTAACAGTCATCTCATTTTGCAAGAGTTAGAGAGACACTGGCAACTAAAATAAAACAAAATAATAAAATACACTTTATAGAAGAAGAGCATGTACAAAGCCTGAGTTTCGAGCCAACAAACATAAAGGAGATAACAGTGGAAATAAATCAATTGAAAAATAACTGTGCCCCAGATAGACAAAATTACAAAAAAAAAAACATATTAATGCTAATCAATATCATTGGACCCACTTTGGTCAAGTTCACAAACAACATATTGCAAACTGGAAATCACCCCGAAGAGCTTAAAGCAGCTAAAATTATTCCAATTTAGAAAAAAGGAGCATGTGAGGATATGAAAAATTACAGGCCAATTGGACCCACTTTGGTCAAGTTCACAAACAACATATTGCAAACTGGAAATCACCCCGAAGAGCTTAAAGCAGCTAAAATTATTCCAATTTAGAAAAAAGGAGCATGTGAGGATATGAAAAATTACAGGCCAATTTCACTGATAAGAACTTTTTCGAAAGTAATAGAAAAAATTATCAAAGCAAGATTAATAGCATTCATAGAAACAACATTTGTGTTTGACCGTCAACAATATGGATATGGATTTCAAAAAAGCAGTACTCAAAAGGGCAACAGTGGATCTAGAAAAACATATTATAACTAGTGAACTAGATAAATACAAATGTACAAATGTGATAGCCGTATATGTTGACCTGCAGAAAGCATTTGGCACGGTGAATATCGAGCTTTTGATGAGTAAACTACATAAAATGGGCTTTCGTGGTACATGTCACAACTTACTGAAGCCATAGTCAAGTAGTAGGAAGCATTAAACTGTAGTAAATGATTAAGACAGTGACGAAGAAGAACTAAATACGAGTGTCGCTCTTTGGCTTTGTACTCGGATCACTGCTGTACTTGTTGTACATGCACAATTTGACACAGTACTATTATACTCTGGGGAAAGTAGAAAGTAACTGGAAGAAACTGTCGATAGTAGAACTGTACTTTGATTGGATATGTCACAATAAATTGTCTCTAAATGTTCAGAAAACAGTATTTGTGGCTATCAAGCATAAAGGTGAATCACCATTGACCATCCAATCCACAAATTAAAATAAATAGAGCAAATCTCAGGGTGACTGAATATAAACACCCGTGACTAACTATATTACAGATAATCTTTCTTGGAATAAACAAATATAAGATTTAACAAACAAAATTGTACCCACGCTGGGCTGTGTTAGGAGATCTGCTCACAAATTCAATGAAAAATCCAGACAGCTTCTCTATAATGGCTTCATAGAGCCACACTTGCGAAACTTAATGCCTTGCTGGGGAAATACAACCGTAGGACAAATAAATAGGCTCTAATGACTTCAAAACAAAGCGATTAAAGTGATATTTGGGATGAACTATTACATGCCCAGTGAGGAAATATATAATAAAGTGACATTTTTAAGGATAAATGAATTGAAAGTATATAACAGACAATTTTGCACATACAACACAAGAAAAAAACATGAACTAAGAACAACAAACGCTAGAACTAAAAAGGGACAGGACTCACCAATTTATAGAAGCATATAGGAATAATAATAGCACTCCATAAACAATATTTCAAGGAAGTGCAGGGACAGTGTAATATAAGCTAAAAAACTATACCTATAAGAGAATACAGAAAATAGACAATCAGGCCTGTGATATATCATTTTCCCGTTATTTGAACAGCAACGTTAAGTTAACTATCACTGTTTATTCTACACGTAAAAATAGAGATAGGTTTGGATTTTGAGCTATAACACAACTGGCAAAATAACAGGAGTGGATACATGATACATCATAGGCCTGAATACAGTAGGTATCAGGATTAATGAATGTAGACCAAGTTTGTTTGCTTTTTATAGTGACTTTATTTGTATGGTAATATTGTATTAATGTCTGTAGGCCTCGGTGCCAGTTTTAATGTAATGACTTGAACCATTCCAGAGGGAAGCCTCGAATTCCGTAATACTGCAATTTGAGTACACAGTCGAGTGCTTTAGAAAAATCACAGGAAAACGGATGCTGCAGAGTGCACATTGTTCGAGCTAGAGAGAATATTATTGAAGACAGAGAACATAGCATCAATAGTGCATCTATTGATTAAAAATCCATACCGAAAATTCTTTTAGGTGTGACAATGAGCGCATGTTCGTTGCCAATGTTCGCAAGCCTTTAATAGTTCAGGTGAAATGCTTTGACAGCCAGACCAAATAATGTATCTGTAAATATAGAAAATGCACTACCTATCGATGTCATCAGAGAGGCAATTCCAGTCAACTGTTTGACATAAGTGCTTGAAATTAAGGAATTTTTTCTCCGAGTAAATTGAGCGTAACTTAGTTGGGGCATTTTCTGCAATTGATTTTTAGAGAAAAGCTTGTGAGTACTGCTTTATGATCTGCAAAACCCAAACTAAAGACAGTACAGTACAGGATCAAAAGATAACAAGACGTAGTCGATAGTGCTACATAGATCTGGTTTTATAGTTATTCGGGTTGGAGATTGAACATGCATGACTATACCAAAAGATCCAAGTATAGACTGGAGAAATTATTGAGCAGCACACACTGGAAAAATCTATGCTAAAGTCGTCACATAAAATTAATTTACCATTTAGATGAAGGAACTTAAGCAAGTAGTAAGTTTTGAACAAACGTAACCAAGTCAGCGTCAGGTGTTCTCAAAACACACATTGAAGGGTTGGTCGTGGAGATATGCAAGGTAAAGCCTAAGAGCTTTTAAGATGGACGTGTCTCAATCTAGCCAGCAGATAACGTCCATTTTGCTATATTAGAGTTTCGCGATATCCGCACTATATATATTTTCAGTAATCTTGGCACAGTAGCTTCAACGTGAAATTAAAATTCAAAAATCATCAAAAACACGATTTTTTTCCCAAAGATAAGATAAAAAAATGCTAATCTTTTAACACTGATTGAAAGTATTATTTTAAATAGGCGAGATTAACGAAATTGACAGCTGATAAAATAATTTATCGCGAATTATATCGAATATCTTTTATTTTGATTTTTGAGTCTTTAATCCTATTGTTATCAAAACTCAGTCAAGTTTGTCGTAAAATAATTGTTTGATTCATATCCGTTTGCGTGTAAAATTTACGAAAGTGCAATTATGTTTGAGGATTTTCTCTAAATTAATTTGGTAAGTACCTAGATTCACTGATTTGAAGCTTACAAATTACTTGAATATTCCTTATAGTAAACTATGACATCATTTATTGAAAAGGAGCTAGAAGATTTTGTAGATCCAGATGAAGAACCTCATTTTGTTAGAAAAACAACATGGAAAACAATAATTTGCACCAAATTAGCTAGAGGTCTCATAATTGTTCTATTTTTGGCTATAGTTGTACCAACTTTAGCTTATTTATTTGTTATATCCAGGTAAGAAGTAGACTTATTGAATCAGTATAACACCAAACGCCAATAATGGATACATTGTTTTTTTGTTGTCATAAGTAAGTTATTGATTAAAGTCTAATCAATACATTTTATTGAATGGGAATGGGAAACCTCTCAAATCAATCATCATCACTAAACACGTATCAATAACAGTTTCCCAGAAATATGATTTTGTTCTCTATTTATAGAAACGTACCCAGTGTAGATGAACAGGAAGATTACTATTGTCTTATCAGAGAAGAATATAGAGTACCTTGCGGTAAAATCGGCATAACTTCATATGAATGTGAAAAAATAAATTGCTGCTTTGATACCACAACTGGAAAATGTCATCATTTTTTACCATCAAAGTATGTATTTACAATATTCTATTATCACCTATAAGGATATCTCATTTAGTGCCGGCTTATTCACCTTCTGATAAACTGTCAGGTATGCAATCTGACGGATAAAAACGCAATATGTAATCCCATTGGCCAATCAGTTATCCGCCGCCAATAAAATTATAGAACGGTAAACTTATCTTGCAGATAGTTACCAGCAAGTTCATATGAAAATGAATGAACCCGGTCTTAGTCGAATAATTATCAACACGTCGAATCTCAGAATAATTTAGTGTATGGAGTTTAGGGTGTCCCGAATGATTATTTAAAAACAAAAATTTCATCATTTTACCTAGGTACTTAACCTTATGATTCAGATTTTTGAGAAGTTTGAAAAATCATAAATTTTTTTTTCTATCCATAAGCTGATATTTTTTGAACGAACTGTAACGAAACTAACCAAAAATATGCAAACTAAAGCTACATCCTCAATTAATCTGGTAGCGAAGTGGCACTTTGGCACGCGTGCTGGGAAATTGATACCCATCCTCAATGCTGTCAATTTTCAGTCTGCTGTGCGTGTAGTACGGTCACATACCATGCGTTCGGTATTTTGATCTGTGTTCTCTGAGCATGAATTTACCGTTCATTTATTTAAAAAGTGAACTCGGTGCAGGCTCATTCACGTTCGTTTAATAAAATTTCGAGCCTCTGATACAGCGTTTAACTGCTCTGTGCGCTCGCTGGTCACGTGATTACGACTCCGCTCTGCTCTTTGAGCAAAATACCGAACGCAAGGATTGTTAAGAAGAAGTATTTGAGTTTTATTCTCCCGCTATAATTAGTTAGTTCTGTTCACCTAGTTATTACCTATAGAACCTGTAATGATTAGTATTATGGTATTGTCATTGTAAAAATTGTCATTGTCACGCGAATTTGTCACGTATCTTTTCATTATAGTTAGACTCATTTCACTGTGTCTTATTAAATTTCAAGAGGTTCATCTAATAGGTTACGGTCCCAGTTCACGTGCGAGTCTAAAACATTAACTTTCGTCATTTTAAATCGCGTTCAAGTAGTGAGTGATTTTTATTTCCGAGAAATTACGTTCAAGTCGTAAAACAAATAAAGATTGTGAAAATGGCAAGTTCTGTGAAAATTGATACGTGCAGCATTCCGAAATTCGATGGTACAAACTTTCAGCTTTGGAAGTTCGGCATAACAATCCTATTAAAAGCTGAAAAACTTATGAAAATTGTTGATGGAACCACGAAGGAACCAGATGATGAAACTAGTACCGAGTGGGAAGCTTGGGACACAAAAAACACCAAGGCGCAGGTAATTTTGTTATCAACAATATGCCAGGAACAAATGCAACATCTCATTAACTGCGATGACGCAACAAAAATGTGGAATAGGCTGATTTCCATTCATGAACAGAAAACAGAAATATCCCGAGAGCTACTATGGCAAAAGTTTTATGAATATAGAATGCCAGATAATGGAAATATTGCTGAACACATTTCAGCTATTGAACTTTTAGTACGACAGCTAAAAGACGTCAAAGAAACTATAAGCCCTAGCGCTATCTGTTCGAAGGCTATAAACAGTTTACCATCTAGATTCAATGCATTCAGAACTGCTTGGGATTCCGTAGCCAGTAACCAACAAACGTTTGAGAATCTTTCTGCTCGTTTATTAAAAGAAGAAAGCCGCATGTCTCATGACGATTCCGAAATGTCTCGTCTTGCACTCGAAGTCAAAGCTCTACAAAGCAAATTAGAATCTGTTACTGTAAATAAAAATAATCACAATAAGAAGAAAAATATCAACAATTTGAAGAAAAACTCGATTTGCAATTATTGTAAAAAGAAAGGTCATTGGATCAGAGAATGCCGCAAAAGATTGGCAAATCTTAAGAAAAATGACAGGTCTTCGACCTCAAATTCGCCTTCAAGTTCGTCAAGCTCCGCATTTATTTGTGATATTTCTTCTTTGTATACTGCAAGCTCCGATGTCGAAAAAGCTGAATGGATTTGTGACTCAGGTGCCAGCGTTCATATGAGCAGCGAAAGAAATTTATTTACCAATTTACAAGAGGTAAATGAACCAATATTTGTCCGAATAGCAAATGATAAATTAATAACTGTTGCTGAAAGAGGCACTGTAGAAATTCTCGAAAGTCTTCGCAAACAACCAGTGGCAAAACAAAACAATGACAGATGTTTTGTATATTCTAGAGCTCAGCAGGAATTTATTTTCGGTGGGAGCAATGACAGACAAACATTTTACGTATCATTCATACAAAAATCATTGTGAGTTCCGCGATAGCCAAAAAAAAGTTGTTTGTGTTGGATACAGAAAAAACAATCTATGGATCATGAAATTTAGAGTGAAGCCTCAACAGGAATGTCATGTAAGTACAATTAACAATTCATTAAAACTTTGGCACGAGCGTCTCGGTCATGTTAATTGTCATTACATCAAGAAAACTTCTGAGCTAGTATCCGATTTAAAAATCACAGAAAAAGAGCCGTTTTTCTGTGAAAGTTGCCAGTTTGGTAAACAGTCAAAAGTACCTCATAAAAATCTGTCTGTAAAAAGAGCTGAAAAGCCCGGTTTTATGATACACAGTGATGTCTGTGGGCCTATGAATATTCCCTCGCCTAGCGGTTTAAAATATTTTGTACTATTCAAGGATGATTGTAGCGGTTACCGCATGGTTTATTTTCTCAAACACAAATCAGAGGTCTTAAGTAAATTTGTAGAATACAAGACACTTGTAGAGAATCAAACCGGTAACAAAATGAAAGTTTTCAAAAGCGATCAAGGCGGTGAATACATAAATAAATCATTTAAAGACTTTTTACAGAAAGCAGGTATTTCACCCGAATATTCAGCAGCCTATACACCTCAACAAAACGGCAGATCGGAAAGAGAAATAAGAACCATTACAGAATGTGCCAGAACCATGCTTATCAACAAGAACGTCTCTCAAGAATTATGGTCCGAAGCGGTAAATTGCGCGGTATATATTCTGAACAGAACGGCAAACACTCAAATTGAAAATATGACCGCATACGAGAAGTGGTTTGGCCGTAAGCCTACGTTAAAACATGTCCGCATTTTTGGAAGTATCGCTTACATGGCAATACCAGATCAGTTTCGGAAAAAGTTTGAGCCAAAATCCCGAAAATTATTGTTGGTAGGTTATGACGGTCATTCATCCAATTATAGACTTTGGGATCCAGAGAAACGTAGAATTGAAATCAGCTGTTATGTTAATTTCAACGAAAATGACATATTTTCACCCAAAAAGGAAACATTTACCCTCTATTTTGAGATATCTGAGAATTACGAACCACAAAATGAGATACACGAAGTACCAGAAAATATAGATGAAAACAACCCTAGCGAAGAAATTACAGAAATAGAAGAAAATGCCGAAGAATATTTGAGTGATGAAGATTATCAGTGTGAAGAAAATTTTGAATTAAAAGATGAGAATAGAAGAGAATTAAGAGATAGAAGCAAGTTGTCAAGACCCAATTTTTATACTACCTATGCTAATTATTGTTCACTTTCCGAACCTACGACATACGAAGAAGCCATCAGCTCTGAAGATTCTGATAAATGGCGCCTCGCTATGCAAGAAGAAATAAACGCCTTAAAGTGCAACAATACGTGGGACTTAGTAACATTACCGAAAAACGCGAAAATCGTTGACCATAAGTGGGTGTTTCGTATTAAAATATCTTCTGATGGTAAACCATCGCGCTATAAAGCACGTCTTGTCGGGCGGGGATTCACACAAGAAAAAGGGGTGGACTATCAAGAGACTTTCGCGCCGGTGGTACGATACGATTCTATTCGAATTCTGCTTGCATTGGCAACCGAACATGACATGCATATTTCTAATTTCGACGTACAAACAGCCTCTTTGTACGGCGATCTCTCGGAGTGTGTGTATATGAAACAGCCATCGGGGTTCGAAAACCAAAAGAAACCCGGTTTAGTGTGCAAATTAAACAGAAGCCTTTACGGACTAAAGCAATCAGCACGATGTTGGAACCGTAAGTTTGTTTCATTTTTAAATCAGTACGATTTTAAACAATTAAAAATAGACCCTTGTGTATTTCTTGGTCACTTTGCTGAGAATGAAATTTATCTGGCTATTTATGTCGACGACGGTCTGTTGATGTCAAAATCAAAAACTGCTATATCTGGACTTATTAATATTTTGAAACAGATGTTTAAAATCGTTGTAAATTTGGACAGTTCAAAACTAAATTTTGTTGGTCTTGAAATCGAACAAAATTTATCTGACGGTATAATTTGCATTCACCAACAAATGTACATAACTAGACTTGTAAATAAGTTTCCAATGAGTGATGCCAAACCCTTATCAGTTCCTGCGGAACCGAGTATTCTGTTGTCATTACCTGAAAATACAGTGTGTGCAAAAAAGCATCCTTATCGCGAAGCTGTCGGTTCTTTGATGTTTTTAGCAACGTGTAGTCGACCAGACATTTCTTTCGCAGTGAATCAAGTGAGTCGATTTTATAATAACTGGCAAGATGAACAGTGGCAAGCGGTTAAACGCATATTTCGTTATTTAAAGCTCACTGCTCATTATAAAATCGTTTTCTCTAAATCGCCAAAAATAAATCTATTCGGATATACAGATGCTGACTATGCAGGTTGTATAGACACACGAAAATCAACCAGCGGTTACGTTTTTGTTCTTGCAAATGCACCGATCACCTGGAAGTGTCAGAAACAAACCGTTGTTGCTCAGTCTACCACTGAGGCCGAATATTTAGCGTTATCACTCGGAGTACGAGAAGCTTTATGGCTGAAGTCTTTTCTAAACGAATTAGGAATAAACTTCCCACAAGTAAAAATTAATGTGGATAACCAATCAGCCATAAAACTAGCTCAGGCTCAGCAGCAACATAGAAGAACAAAACATATTGACATTAAAGTGCATTTTGTGCGTGACGAAATTGAAAAAGGTAACATTTCAGTCAATTATGTAAATTCTAACGAACAATTGGCAGATATTCTCACAAAGCCAGTTACAAAGACTGTTCTGAACAATTGCCTTCAAAAATTAAACATGTTATTGTAGTTTTTAGTCTATATCCGAATGTATTTTTTGAATAATGTTAATTCTTCTATAAAACACAAATAGGTGGGAGTGTTAAGAAGAGGTATTTGAGTTTTATTCTCCCGCTATAATTAGTTAGTTCTGTTCACCTAGTTATTACCTATAGAACCTGTAATGATTAGTATTGTCATTGTAAAAATTGTCATTGTCACGCGAATTTGTCACGTATCTTTTCATTATAGTTAGACTCATTTCACTGTGTTTTATTAAACCTCAATAGGTTCATCTAATAAGGATAACCTAAATTATTTTTTACCGTACTGCGCATGACATAAGTCGGCACGCATCGAAAAAGATTGCAGCTTGCAAGCTTGCACTTCGAAGTCGGCGTGCATGCCAGCACGGAATTGAATTGAGGATGCCAACGTTAAACTACATTTTCCTAGCTTGCGTGCCGAAGTGCCACTTCGCTACCAAATTGATTGAGGATGGGCCTTAACCCGTCCACGTAATGCGTGCTAGTCATTGTACACTTGGCTAATCATGAAAGGTACGCATTTTCCTATTGTGTAAATCGATTTTTTTATCGCCTCAACATGACAAAAAGAGTCAAATCAGTGTCATATTTAAACCAATCATAACATAAAACATGTTGCATTTACTTTTGTTTAGATTTGAGGTTGACAAACTGTCTGACCTAAGTTTTCAGAAGAGACTTTTTGTTGTTAAGTCTGACTCACACTAGGCAAATTTAAAAAATATATTATATTGCCTGTACCAGTTTTATGTTTGACCAAGTGTATATTGTATGTTAATATTGAATTTGAGGCAGTGGTCCGAATATAACCAGGGTTATGGTTTCACGGTCCGAAAGTAATCATAACACTCTGTTTCCTTGAAAAGTGGTTACTTTTGGACCTCGGTTTCCTGAAATCTGGTTAACCAATTGTCAAAATAGCTACCGGCCATCAGATGTCGGTTCCGTTGGTTTTATCTGTAATTTCTGTCAATTATTTTTTATTTCATACTCGCGTTTCCTAAGTAACCAGAATTTTCAGTAAGCCTCTGTCAACCGATTCGGTCACTTTGGTTAACGTTTGGTTATATTTGGACCATAGCCCAAATAACAAAGCGCGCTTCGCGCGCGTCTCTGTCAACCAGTACACTTATAACCAGTAAAACAAATTGTAACGAAATTAACCAAAAATATGCAAACTAGCCCAAACTAACCCGTCCACGTAATGCGTACTAGTCCTTATATGTTTATATTGAATTTAGGAAAACAACGTCTGATTTAACACCTTTAGGACAAGAATTACCATCTGAATAATTACATATTTACAAAAACTTAATTTCCACAGATACTTCTACAGACCTGATCCAGGTAGTGATTCATATCAAACCTCTCAAGCCAGTTCCCCAGTGGGCTCGAAAGCTTTACAAAATCTCAAACTTACCATCCAAAATAAGACTTCCAACAGATTATCTCTGATAATCCACGAGCCATCTGAAATCGTCAAGCCCATAAGCACCTCTGACCCAAACTATTCAATAACTCAAGCTTCCAAAAAGCTCATTGTTGAAGTATTTGATAAAGATGGAGATGCGATATTTACAAGTGCCAAAGGAGCTTTGATCGCCTCTGAAAAATATTGGGAATGGTCGTTTCAGCTTTCTAATGACACCTTGTTCGGGTTGGATAGAAATTTGATTAAGTTGAATGCTGATCAGAATTTAACTAAAGTGATTTATAAGAATAGGGACGATCATTCTACTTTACCGGTATTTTGGGCGTATCAGAATGGAAAATTTCATGGTAAGGAATTTATTTATATAAAAAAGTTTTCACTTTTTTTCCGGTCTTCTAGGCGCAGTGATCAAGCATGATGGTCCTTTGGAAATAGAAGTCCTCTCCTCATATACTGTAATATTGAGAAGCTTGCTTGGTAAAAAAATTGAAGTTGAGTTGTCTTTAGGTCCAACTCCAGCAGATTTATATAGAGACCAAACAGTAGATGATATTGTAGTGCCTCCTTTATGGTTTTTGGGTACTCATAATTGTAGGTGAGTATTCCTAACTATTAGATTATATCTTTTTTCAAATAGAGGCATATTTACCACTAGCTTAGGGGAAATGCGATCGTTTTCTCTCGAAATTAACAATTTTTTTGCCTGTATCGTAATCCAACATCCTGACAGTCCAATCTTAAAAGAAAATTGACCCTAAAATAAGTTTCTGGTTCTTAGACCAATAATTTTTATTATAGAAAAGGTGAAAGCACAACTTTGAGCGATTTATTAAAAATTTACTCGGCCAATAATAGTTCGAATTTAGACACGGATTGCATCCATGAAAATCTTTTTGTTACCTTGCAAAACAAAACCCAATCCCAAGATGACGTGGATTTGTTAAAAACTTATGTTGTCGATATGTTTGCTAATGGTAAAAAGTTTATGTTTTGTCTACCCCCACAGGTAAGTAACCTTTCTTGCTAAAATAAGAAAATCATTAATTGTAATTTCTTTCAGATTTTAATTCACGAAAACAACGAACTCTACATTAAAGCAAAAGAGCTGGGCATTCTTTACAAAAACGAAAATGGATCCATTTATGAAGGTTCTTACCTCAACCAGCCTGTAGTTTATCCAGACTATTCGGCAAATTCTTCTGAATATATGGAAACCTTAATAAAATGGATAGATACACACCTAGGAATGGACTATATTAGTGGTTTTATATTAAATGATAATTGGCCAGAGGATGAAAGTTTCATCAAAGTTCCAAGTTCAAGTTTTCCATATTATACTCAGGTTGGCACTAGAGGCATGCAAATAATTTTCTTGAATTACTTAAATCTAGTTATTTCCAGGAAATAAACAATCAAATGCTGTATACGCTTCCCTGGTACCTAAAAGGCCATAACCAAGTTGCCCATTATGAAAGTCACAACTTATATGGACAATATCAAGATGATGCTTTAAGTAGGGTATTACCAGCCTCGCAATCTTTGATAATAGCATCAACAAAAACTTATGGCAACACTGAGCCAGTAATTTCTGATAATTTTGATACTTCTTGGGAAAATTTTAAGCTGTACTTAAATAGAATTTTGTTTGGGAGTATTACTGGTAAGCAAAATTGTATTAATTAAATTTTACTAAGGGGTGTTAGTTTAGGTAATCAAATGGTTGGCTTACCAATATGCGGAGATACAGATAATTACAACAAAACATTACATCAGGTTTTGTGTTTGAGATGGTATATTGCAGCTGCTTCTATGCCATATTTTAGAGTAATTTCAGGTATAATATAATTTTTTGAAAAATAATCTATGAAAATAATTAAAAATACTGTTCTTTAGGTGATGTTTTTAGAGATCCTGCGAATCTCAATTCTCAATACGCAACTCAAGCAGTTGAGGCCTCTATTAAAAGAAGAGCCTTATTGCAGGACTATTTTTATACTATAATGAATAAAAATGAGCCATTAGTAAGGCCCATGTATTATGATTATTTTAATAACACAGAAACGTTTTCTTTGGAAAGGTGTTTTATACTTATATACCGACGGGGGTAAGTTTACTAATTTTTTTTTTTGTTAGACAATACACGATTGGAAAAGACCTAATGGTAGCTCACCCCCTAAGTAGTGGACGTATTGTTTTGCAAGTATACTTACCACCAGAAAGAGGAGTTTGGTACGAATTCTGGGGAGGCACCATTTTTAAACCGCTTCAAAAAAACAGATATTATATGGACATTGAGACATTTGAAACTGATTGGACTATGTTGGTTGCACAAGGCACGATTGTTGCTTTAACAGTAAGAATCTGCCTTTATATAGTAAATGAAAATTTAATTTAATAATTACTTTTAGACTTCTACAGATATTCAACTTTACATCGCGTTGGATTGTTCTATGGAAAGCAATTGTACTGCATCAGGTGATTTGCTAAAAGATGGTAATAATTTTACGTTTTTGGCTACGAATAGTTCAGTAACAATAAAAAATATACCAGCTAGTTGTGGTTATTTTGTAACGTTTTTGAAGGTTTATAATTATACGGATAGTAGTTTGTATTCGAAAAATGCGGAGTTGTGTAAAGAAGGGCACGGAGATTCTTTAGCTATAAATTATAGTGAGGATACATAAGATTTGAATTTGCAATTATTCTAAAATGGTAATAGATAAGTTTATAATCAATCAGATGTTTAGTTTTATTTAAAAAATATATCAATAGATAAAAGTGTGTCATACTTAAGGAAATTATTTGAAAAAAATTGTACTATGTGAAAAATGATCTCTACGTAAAGCCGCTGATGCCAAGTACCTTGCATATTTTACTAATATTAGATAATGTTGTATCGGCTGGTGTGTATTTTATATGGAGAGTGAGCCCAACGTCAAGTCTATCACCTCTTGTCTACGTCTATAACAGAGATCGGTAGGCTGCTAAGGTTCAGGATTTCTAAATCTGTGGTGTGAAGCTACTCCAGAAGACTGTTATTGGTTTTGATAGAGGAATTGTAATCAATTTATAACCTGAAGTAGCGACTATTTTATAAACGATAAACGATGGTAACCTTTTTTGTCTTTGATAAGAAAAATAGTAATGGAGAAGTTCTATTTAGGTGTAAACAATATTCACAATGCCAAAAATTAAAATAAAAAAAAAAGTAAATATAATTCATTGAAACTAATTATTATTCTGGTGGTTCTATCCAACCACCAAAATATCGTTCCAAAGCTTCAGCAACAGCTAAGCACAGTCTATCTTGGTGAGGTGCTGCTAATACCTGAAAAAAAAACACAAAATTATAAAGCATATTTCAGTGAAATGGCGTTTTGCTCACCTGAACCCCAATAGGCATTCCTTCCTTATCAAATCCACAAGGAACCGATGTGGCAGGTAACCCTAGAGCATTTGCTATGCTAAGATGAGAATAACTAACTTTGAAGTTCATTTGATTGTGCTTGCAAGCCGAGTCTATGAAAGTTGGAAGAATGATGACTCCATTGTTGTCTAACTTTTCCTGGAAGTGACAAAAAAGCTTTGTATGTTGAGAAACACTAAGTAATACTACGAGTTTTAAATATTAATGTTATAGATGAACTTACAACCACTTCCTTTTTCATTTTTTCATTCTCCACTGAATAATCGCTTACAATCAGTTTATACAATTTATCCAAGATATAAAAATACCATAAATTCCAGGTGTATCTTGACTTACCAAAAGGAGATTTAAATAAGTCAAAACAATCACCGCATGCCTCCTAGAAAAAAAAAGCTCTAAAAAATTTATAAAGTGAGATATGGATACATTTTTAAATAGGGGTCAGGTATCTAGGGGGGGTTTTGGGGGTTCAAACCCCCCCCAAAAATAATAAAATTCAAAAATTATAACTTAAAAACAAACAACACTTATTAAATACTTATTTTTTTATTTTATTTATATTACTAGTGTAACAATTTTTTTTTGCCACTTTGTCTAACCCCCCCCCCAAAATTTTGGTCTAGATACGGCCCTGATAGGGGTGATTTTTAAATAAATAATTTAATAAGGCTGTAATTACTTACCCATTTAAACGGATATGGTGTATCTTCAATTCCAGTAATTTCCTTATTACAAACTATCCAACTATTATCAAAGCTCTTGAACTTGTAATCTTTGATAGTAGATCCATAAAATTCCTTCAAATGTTTCACAGACTTTTCAATAACCCCCTTTATGTCTTGTGAAGTATACGGTTGTATTACTGAACTTCTTATGTCTTCAATAAAGAAAACGTTCAGCTTAGTTAAGTCAACCTGAAATTGAACATTTCAATTATTTTTAAATCAATATAATTTACAAACATACTGATTCATTTAATCTAAGCTCAGCACTGGTTTTGTCGTTACACAAAACTTTCATCATCAACTTCAAATCGCAAGCATATCTAGCCATAGGACCAACAACTAAATAATCATTATATTTATCGTCTTGGCCCATTGGCCAGTGCCCTTTTATCGAAATAATTCCTGAAAAAAAAAAACAATTTCTCATAAATCTGGATATAAATATAATACTGAATTACTTACTTGAAGTAGGTTTGTGACCGAATACGCCACAAAAAAGTGCTGGTAGTCTTATGGAACCAGCTACATCTGATCCAATGCCAATAAGTGATGCTGCGGAGCCTAGTAACGCTCCCTAAAATATATTATTCACTTAATGATATGAAGTGGATAGAGACATTCGGAGTCAAAACCATTAAATAAAAATGCTCAACCTTTATTTTTAACTTCAATTCAGTGAATTGAGGTTTAGTGGGCCAGGGTTAATTATTTTCGTGTACTTAAAAATCTTATGGTGTTTGCTCTGTGTTTTATGCTCCCATTTTCAGGGGTTTCCCCCTGTTTGATTAGTAAGTTGAGTCGTCTGAGCTTTTTGCATTTGGCTTTTCACCGGTTTCTGCATTTTCCTGTGATGCGTGTTCTTCTTTCCTGGGCCAACCGGTACAAATTTTAACCCTGTACTGACTTCTGTTTCTAGGTGAGAAACACTTGATTATTAAAAATATAAACAAGATAATGAAGATCAGTACAAGTATGCATGAAATTTATTTTTGAATCAGCTTGAAATTGATATTGCAAATCAGAGAATGATAGAAGCGCTCGTTGCATCCTTAGAATGTAATGGGAATGTTCTTTTTTTAGGAAGAATGTGCCTAGAATGTTCGCCAAAACCATTGCGAATGTCCTGAGAATGTTCAAAGAAAAGATTATAGAAATACTGTTTGCAATACCCAAGACATTCCTGGGAAATACATAAGGATATTCCTAGGATATACCAATGCGATTCTGTGTACATCCTGAAACGAATATTCTTGTTTGATTCTAAAGATATGCTTAGAATGTATGTTAGAATAGGACAGATTGGATAACCGGAGACGTCAAGAAAGACCGATCAGCTGCGGCTACGAACTAATCTTAATATGGATCATTGCCTTGATTTGTTTTGTCAGTTTTTGGCATGTTGATGGAAAAAGGCCGGCATACACACACGTTATTTCGCGCGGTTTATCGTGGCATGTTGGGAAGTGGCGGTTAGCATGCGCGAAAGAACGGCGTAGCAAAAAAACCGTCATGTTCCATACACTTTACAAAGTATCCAAATAATTAAGCACTTGATTAAGACCGAAACCCACTAGCAACACGCCACGCCTCCCCACGCCATGTGACACAGGTTCACGTGGGACAGTTTGTATGCAAATAGACCGATAGCGTGGCGTGCCATGACGTGGTATCGCGTATGGCAAGTGTGTACGCGGCACATATAAATAAATGGAAGAATATACGCATACATTTTCGTCACATGGCGTGGCGTGGCGAAGCATGACGTGGCGTGTTGCTAGTGGGTTTCGGCCTTTACACGTGGAATATTAGTTTCAAAGGAAAACTCGTATGTGTGTGGACAAAAACTGTCATTTATCGTGCCATTTGAAAGTGCATGTGGTCATGTACTAATTTTCAATGTAATAGATCGCTACGCGCCGTTTATGTCTTCGTAATAGCCTCGAAACCATGACGTGAAATGGCGTGTGGACGCACGGGTGTGAACTACTCTGTCATATACTTGAGTACTGACGCCACACTCCAGATGAAACCACGTCTGAAGTTTCTTCCCATTCTATCATTGCGCGCAGCCTTCCTCACTCACGTAAATGATTTTTCACGGGTTTTTCCAGATGACACGATAAACCGGCGAAATAACGTGTGTGTATGCCGACCTAATGCTAATGGCAACGCCAGTCAAGAAGTGCGTGGTGTTTGGGTTTTTTTTTTATTTGTAAATTTGTTAATTTGTCAATTTGTCATGTTTTTTGTCATTATTTCTAAAAAGAATTCAGAACAGTCGTCGAAAAAGTGTTGAATAATTTATTTACCCTCGGTTTTTTATCATGTATATTCTCATATTCAAAGAATGTTTCTATAACATTATAGTTATGTTCTCGAAAGAATATTATATCAATATGCTTGAAATATTCTTAGGATATATCTACATATATCATCCTCATAATGCATCCTAGACATAACATTCTTGTTTGATTCTAGGGATATACTTGGAATATTAATTTTCGCATCCAAATAATGCTCCTTTCACATTATAGGTAGTGAAAGAGTTGTGGGAAAATTTATTTGGAAAAGTGTTTAACCAAAGCTCCGGTTTCGACCTTGTTATGCTCCCATCAGTTGTCGGTGTAATAAAAATACGCCAACTCAGGGAAACAGGTTCCAAGGAGATTTACACGATAAGAAAGATATAGCAAAGCAAAAAAAAAAATAATATAGGTACCTATGTTATTTTTAGTAGGTTCTGAACAGAACATTATTGTTTAATTGTTGAATTAAGTTTTTTCTGTAGGTACTTTAGATAATTAAGTGAGCAATATGAAAATATTCTTATCATGGGTCTAAAGTTCATTTCACGACACGAGATAGTGAAAGTAAACAAATTTTGACAGGTAAGTCGAATTTTATTGGCGAGAAAAGGATTATACTCCGCCCTAGGCAGGACCATCTTAGGTTGTTTTGTATTTCTTTTCTCTGAATATACTTCCGAAAGAATTCCTCAGCGGAATCTGTTGAACGTGATATTTTTTTAATCTAAATTGCTTACTAATTAACAATAATTCTCCAACCACTATTTAAATAATTGTTATATACTAGGAAATACGACATTAAACTTATTGACTTATATGACAACCTGACAATAACAAATGTCATTAGTTCTAATTCATATTTTTGCAGTCCTTCTCTGAATTTTTAAGCTCCGTCTGTTTTTTTACCTCTACTATCTCGTTTCGTGAAATGAATTTTTCCTACAGCCGTGCGGAAAAATCGATTTTCCGCACTGATATGCGTGCGGAAAATGAGTTTTCCCGCACGGTGCGGTAAAACTTTTTTTTTTGACATATCAGTGCGGAAAAAGTTTTTCCGCACGGCTGTCAGTGCGGAAAAAATTTTACCGCACTGATATGTCAAAAAAAAAAGAAAAATTTTACATTTTCTCGCCTGTAGGAAAAATATTTTACCTAACACTTGCGGAAAATATTTCCGCATTCATTTTCCGCACTTGTTAGGTGAATAGCTATTACCTACATAGACTTCTCAGCACAACTTGGTAGGTATATTCTTAACACTTGATAGAGATATTAGCCGAAAGAACATTTTTTAGAAAAGAAGTGGAGACAAGGAAATACAAAACTAGAAAGAATATCCAGATTTGAATTAAGTTAGGTTGAATCAATGATAATAAAGTGGATGATGTGGAACCTTTTGAAATTTTGGAGGAATCGTCAAAGACATTTGTATGTGGCGAGCCTTTACAAATGTTGTTGCGTCATTCGAATCATTTTGAAAAATTCCCAGCCCGAAAATTTTTTGTTAAGAAACCTGACATTGAATTTAGCCTTAACGTTGCGCTTTATTCTCTAAAACCCTATGAAGAAACCATTGTCAAATCCCCAGTACTTATCTAAACCCATCATTTCCTTTCCAATATTCCAACCCCACAACTTGCCAACTTGATCGGCAGGCGTGGCGTTTCAAGATGCCAAAACCTCTTAACACAATCTCGATTACCACCACTAAGCAATCAGTCAGTCTGACGGATTCTGGGGGAGGCAAATACTCGACTGAAACTACAGCGAAAAATAAAGCACAAGGGAAAACCAACTCATCTTGTTTTCACATAGCCACGTATAGGTATGTACATACACGATACGAAATATGAGGCCGAAAAACAATTTGACGAATTAGAACAAGAACCAATATCAAATGGGACGTAATTGGAGAGAAATGCACAACCTTAAATCCGGTCACACCCTATTTCAGTCCTGATAAATAGAAGATTCCCCTACGAAATAACAAAATACTGTGCAATTTTAAACAGCGTCATAATATACATTATAATCACTTTGAACAAAAGATATAGCCTACAGATCATACACTGATAATACTGATATGCACCGTCGAAAAATTCTGAGGAGAAACCTTTCACGACGATAAGGGCAAGCAGATAGGAAAAAACATAAATCGTAAGTACTAACAGGAGATTTCAACGCAAAAATCCGAACTAGAGAGCAGGGAGACACACATTACTTCGGACACTTGGGCTAGGCAACAGGAACGAAAGAAGGGAGATGCTACTTGAACTAGGAAAACCATTTTTGCCTCAATATCGTCTTCAAAAAACCCAATGCAGCACCAGAGGATTGAAAACGTTGAACACTATTTGGGTCATGACATCAGACTAGGGAAACCAAACCAAAATGCTGAAATAGAAAGAAGATCGCAACTAACTAACATACATCTTGAAAAATAAGTCCATTCACATGAACCTAAAAAGAAAAGTATACGACACTTGCATATTACCGGTGTCTACTTATGGAGACCATCTCTCTCACCAGAAAGTCCGCTAAAAAATTAGAAACCATCCAAAGAGCGATGGTAAGACACATACTTGGAATATCACTAAGAGACAAAATTAGAAACATCGAGGGACATTGTGGAGGAGGTGGCAAAGATCAAATGGCGATGGGATGGACAAAGAAACCTAGGAAGTGAATAAGAAGCACGGGATGACCTCAAAAAAGATGATTGGACGACATAAGGACAGTGGCAGGCAAACAGTGGATGGGATTGGCGAAGGATAAAGAAAGATGGAAACAGCTAGGAGAGACCTACATCCAGGAGTGGATGGATAGAGGTTGACAAAGAACAAGAACGATAAAATATCTCAAGTATTTGTGTAGCTTAATTTCATTATCAATAGTTCTTACTTCACCTCCAGAAGATCCACCTGACGTGCATGTAGGATCATAAGGATTATTAGTTCGCCCAGTTATGTAATTGAACGTTTCCCAACTGAGGCACAGTTCTGGAGTATTGGAAACAAGTAACACAATAGCTCCAGCACATTTCAATTTCGCAACCGCCTCGGCATCGTTTTCTGCTGTGAAGCCAAGACGCGATAGAGAACCTGTACAATGCGTCATCCCTAGAAAAAAGAAAATAAATATTGATTTTTGGAGTCTTATTTCTTACCTACCTTTAACAGCACAAGCTTCTTTAATTGTAACTGGAACTCCTAATAAAGGTTTAATTTTTTCCAATTCTGCTTCACTTAATGAAGTTGTCTGTAGATAACTATTGACTTGCTTGGCTTCTTTTAGAGCTTCATTGAACCTATCCTCTACTACTGCATTTAAAGTTGGGTTGACTTCTTTGACACGCTCAATATAGGCTTCACATATGTCCAGACTAGATATCTAAGTATACAAAAAAAAATCGAGTAATGAATATCGAAAGGCTGGCATTGACTCACTTGTTTTCTTCTTATTTTACTTGCCAATTCAGTGGCACTTATTTTTAAAAGGTCATTTCTTATTGGTGGCAAGTTCAGTTTCTTATTTTTGGCCCTGCATTTGAAAAACGGTTCAGAAATGATGTCCAACAGCCTTATTATAGCAAACATTATCGTCAGAAAAATCTCCATAGTAAGCAGACTAAAAGGAAAAGTATGTCATTGTGTAAGTTGACGACGGTGTATTTTTCTGTATATATATAAAAATTTGTATTCATAGAGGAAACATGAGCCTTGCTAGAATGCCTTCAATAGGATCGTCACTATAACCATCTAATATCCAGGATGAATATATGTACTATAACGAATAAAATAATCTATTTAGCCGGAAATCCAGTACCTTTTAAATTTGAATTTGTAAGCTTTGACAGCTTACCACCTAAAGATTTCCTTATTAGTATCTTAATCGATGAATTTTTATAAATGTTTGAATAATTTATTTATTTTTTTGCTTCCTTGCAAATATGCAGACGTTGTTAAATTAACGACTTTTGCTCGACACGTTAATTGCTTTCATTCCACCTCTCACCTTGATTCTAAAGCATCAATAATATCAGATATAATTAATAGGAACATTTGAGACACGGAAATTGATAAACAATTCATATGCATATATGCATATTTTTAAAAGAACTAATCTATCCGACATTATTAATTCTCTTTAGAAAAAAAGGGAGCACAATTACCACTGTTTCTCGATCTCTGCTTATTGGAAATTTTCCTCAAATTCAGAAAGTTTACATAGGGGTAGCAAAATCCACCTATGAGGATATCACGGAGTAAGCTAAAATGTGAATTTTTTGAGAATGAGTCTTCTTTAAAGCAGGATTTATAAATTTTTATTTCCTGGCGTTTTGCAGTGAAGTTATAAGAGAGTGAGTTATAAACCATAACCCACTAGTGGATTATGGTATATAAGACACTAGTGTGTTATTTTATTTGATAGTTTACCTGTCTAAATTGGCACAAATAATGACTCTTATAACTAGCAAGTGTTGAATAAAATAAAAAAATTCATCAACTAAAGTCAAATTTAAAATGATAATAGTTAGGTATGTAAGTACTCAGATGTTATGTTGCGTTACCTACCTTAAATTTTAAGAAGACAACAACACAAAAATTATAAAATATCTTCTATCACAACGTATACACGTTCCTTCTTTATCGCAGCAAAACAAATCACAAAATAATCTTGTTTGAATAAAGCGCGCTTCATTAAAATAAAAGAACAATTTTTATCAAAAATGTTCTTGGCAAGGTCTTCATTACGTTGCAGTCTAATTTAAACTAAAATTGAAATATCTTGATAAACAGTAAAAAAATAGCCAGACCTTGACCAACAAACTAGTTTTGTAGTTTTTTTTTATCCGCGATGATGATAGTCTTAAAGTACAATTTTTTTTTCATAATGATCGCAAGTTTGTTATTGTCGAGAAAGGTGGGTAATTTTGATCTAGATCACAGGAATGGCAGAAGCAAAATATTATTGAACTACTAGGGAAATGGAAATTTTCCACAAGAATTCTTTTTTCGAAAAATCAGTGCCACCACCACTTCACCGTATTGTCCGAGCCACCATAAAAATCAAATGAAGATTCCAGAGTTAAGCCAGGTTAACACGGTCCAAGTGTACCTACTTAGATCAAGTAGGTTCCCTTCGATCATATCAAATGTATTAGGTATCCAAGTCCAGTTGGATGGGTTCTAACATCCAAGTCTAGCAGGATAGGTCCTAACATCCAAGTAAGTACGCTGGCTGCCAATTTACTTGGTCCAACTTCTCATCTAAGTGCATACTTGGTCCTAGCATCCTTAGAACGTTATAAGAATGTTCTTTTTTTAGGAGGAATGTGCCTAGAATGTTCGTCAAAACCATTGCGAATGTCCTCAGAATGTTCTGAGAAAAGATTGTAGAAATACTGTTTGCAATACCCAAGAACTTCCTGGGAAATCCATTAGGATATTCCTAGAATATACCTATGAGATTCTCAGTACATCCTGAAAGGAATATTCCTGTTTTATTCAAAAAATATGCTCGAAATGTATATTCTCACATTCGAAGAATGTTTCTATGACATTATACTTATGTTCTCAAAAGAATATTATACCAATATGCTTGAAATATTCTTTGAATATATCTGCATAGGTATATCATTCTCAATATGCATCCTAGACATAACATTCTTATTTGATTCTAAGGATATACTTGGAATGGTAATTTTCGCTTCCAAATATTGCTCCTTTCAGTCCTTTTATATTGAAGGCAGTGAAAGAGTTGTTGGAAAACTTCTCTGGAAAACACAAGTGTTTAACCAAAGCTCCGGTTTCGAGCTTGTTATGCTCTCGGCGCGGTAAGCACGCCAACTGAGAGAAACAGGTTCCCAGGTGATTCAAATGCTAGGCAAGATGTAGATCTTTAATAGCGCGTGGCTCCCTCTCTTGGAAGTCCTACAAAGCAAAAGAAAAAGAATATACCTATGATATTCATAGTAGGTTCTAGATAGAGCATTATTGTTTAATTATTCAATTAAGATTTTTGAGTAGGTACTTTAGATAATTAGGTGAACAATATGAAAATATTCTTATCATGGTTACCTACTTACATAAACTTCTCAGCACAACTTGGTAGGTATACCTATTCTTAATACTTTATAGAGATATTAGCCGAAAGACCATTTTTTAGGGTACATTATAATAATGTTCCTATGAGAATATTCAAATAATGTTAAATAAAGTAGGTTCTTAGCACAATCTTTCAGGTAGGTGCATAGAAGCAACATTCCTAGTACATAAATAGAGCGTTTAAAAATGAATATTTCAATCGAATCAATCTTAGAATATTCATTAAATATTCCTAAAAGAACATTCCAAAAAGCACTTTGAGGGAATATTAATTCTAAGAATATGAATGTTCTTTCACTGTTATGTGGGATCCGAGAATGCCTAATAAGATATCACTTCGATGACCGAACTAATAAGTTATCACTTCGATGACCGAACAGTCATTCATTTGAAGATAACATAAGTATGTTGTGGGAAAATTCTAAGTTCTACAATATCGAACGGAAGGCTAAAGGATAATGCACAGCTAATATGGGATTTTTGCGCTCTATGGATTTTGGAAATACTGGTGCCACTGGTGTTTATTAGTCAAAATATTGACTGGTTCGCATATTTTACTTCACTAGGACGACTAGGGCCGAATTTATATTCGTTTCTCAAGAAACTTATTTGCATTTTAATATTTATGGAAATTGGCAACACTGAAAATATCCCGTTTACAATATGTCAGAGAATTAAATTAAATGCCTATGTAACTACCTGTAAAATTCGAAGGGCAATTTCCACATTTACCTCTTCATATTACCGAGAATAAAGAATAATGCTGAGGAGGGATTTTTTAAATTATTTTTCTAGGGTTTCTCAAAGGATCCTCTACTACGTGGAGGGCTTTTACGCTCTTCTCCGGACACCCTGTATTTATGGTTTTTATTTCTATATTATAACGGAAGTCCAAACTGCTACAGTGAAAAAGCAGTTATTCAAAGAGTGAAAAATCACAGGAAAGAGCAACCGTGATATTTTAAAAAATATGAACGTCAAATTAGAAAAAAGTTGGACAAAACAGTTTTCGAAAAAAGAATCACCCTGTATTTTTTTGTGAATAAATGGGATGCTTTCTACATACTTTATCTTCAGATCTAACTTCCAATTTAGTCGAAACTGCTTATGCTTTAAACATTTTTTTTTTTGTTAAATTGATCTCACTACTGGCTAAACGGAAAGTGGAATCTGAAAATTAGGTAGGTACTGTTTGTTTCACGATGGTTTGTACTTTTGCCTTCCTTTTTTAATAAATAAAAATTGACTGAAACAAATTAATGACGTCATAAACGTTCGTCGGTTTTTAAACCAGAAGTCATTCAATACAATACAAAATCTGAACGCTATTGAATTTATATGAATCAATCTACGACAAAACTTTTTTTTAAGTTATGTCATTATCGATGTCAAAAGTAAAAACCTTCATGAAATGAACCTTATGTAGAAATCATCCCATTAATTTTTAGTATTAAAATTTACAAAAAACTGCAGGGTGATTCTTTTTTCAAAAACTTTTTTATCGACATTTTTTTTATTTCATAATCAAATTACCCAGAATAGTCCAGTAATAAAACTATAAAAGGAAAAATTGTAATCTCGAGACTACGCGAGACTATCGCCGAGCCTAGTCTCGTCTCTTCGAGACTTCACGAGACGATACCAAAAGCTAGTCTCGTCTCGAAAACTCGAGACAATATAAGACGAGACGAGACGAGACCAGTCTCGAGTCTCACGGCATCATTACCTTAAGGTCTGAGGAAACCTCAAGGAGCGATTATTAAATTCGGCTCTTAACAAATTAATGTAAATATAGGCTGTTATATATTATTTAATATTCGACTGGTATATTATTCGAGAAATAATAACATTTTGTCAAAGTCAGTTAAATACGAAATAATTCCCTAGGGCGTTATTCTAAAAAAATAACGCCCTAGGGCGTCAATGCAGATCAAAATAGGGACAATTACATTAGAGATATACTTTCATAACTGGTCTTTTTTCTTCTCATATAAGACAGAGGCTTTTGGAACATTGTACTTTGAGCTTAACACAAGCATTTGATACTACTAGAGCACTTGAAATAGCTCAGCAACATTCCGAATCTTATCTAACACCTTTCTGTTCAAATATCAATGCTGCAATCTCTCATCAAAGTCTTGACAATTCTTCTTCGAATGTACAGATCGAAAATGACCATGCTATAGCAGATGTCGCTTCTAAATGCTATTTTTGTGGTAGATCTAGACATGTCAGAGATAAATGTCCAGCAAAAAATTCTATTTGTTATAACTGCGGAAAGAAAGGTCATTTCACCCAGGTCTGTCAATCGAAAAATCAAAAGCCCCATTCTACTAAGATAAAAACTGCTGCTCTTTTGATGGGGATATCTGGAATTACTTCTCCTGTCAGTTTATCAAAAGCTCTAATCGAAATACAAATCAATGGACTTATGGTCACGGCACTGGTCAACACAGGAAGTTCGGATAGTTATATTTCCGGTACAGTTGTAAAAGAAAAACATATGAAAATTTTTCCTACAACACTGAATGTTACAATGGCATCTTCAAATTTTAACTCTTTGGTACGTGGATTTTGCAAAGCTGATATGAAGATATTTGACAATATCTATAAAAATACCAGACTTTACATTCTAGAACAACTATGTGCTAATATTATAATTGGACATGATATTCTCAATCAACATTCAGGAGTAGAATTCAGTTTTGGGGGAAGCAAACCACCGATCTCCATATGTAATTTGACTATCGCTAAGGTAAAACCATAACCATTATTCGAATATTTGGCAGAAAATTGTAAGCCTATTGCAATTAAATCTCGCAAATACTCCACAGTTGATTTAGAATTCATTGAAGCTGAAGTGCAAAGACTTTTAGAAGAGAAAATAATCGAGCCAAGCAATTCCCCGTGGAGAGCCCAGGTGCTACTGACTAGTAATGAAAATCATAAGAAGCGAATGGTTATAGACTACTTATTGACCATAAATAGATATACACAAAAAACAAATTTCTCACTATGAATATTTCAGTTCGATAGATCCACTTTTTTTTTTACGTAGGCATTAATTTTCTAAAAAAAATATAAATTTAATCCTGAAGCAGCATAGTGTTACCTTGGAATAATAATTAAATAATTGAAGAAACATCTTGTAAATTTTATACAAATAAAATAACTTATGAAGATGATACGATAAGTAAACTGATGGGCTATCGGACAATAGAAATTCAACAAAATCAATAATTCTAAAAGAGATAAAAAAAAAAGATTTTTCATAGAAGCAAAGAGAGAAAACTTGAAAACTGAAAAGAGAAGCTACCAAACTATCTATGTTTATGCTGCCTTGGAAATAAATTTACATAGGTACTAAACTATTTACAATGATAAATATAATTTGTTCATTCGTATGCCTCACAAGGCAACAATCTTCTGCAAGGTTCGTACTCGTGAGGTTTGGCGCCCCTGTCACAATATTGGTCCGGTAAAGCGGTTTCCTGTAAGTCCATGCACATGACGCTTCGTCTTCTCATTGGTTTCTTACCCTAAAACAACAATAATAATTGTCTGTATTTTCTTTTTTAGTTTTAGAAGTTTAGTAAGAGATAAAACAGATACAGGTCAAAAGCTTCAAGTAATTATCTCGCCTAGGACTACATCTGTGTAACATCAAAACATAAGAGAGCCGTGGGTGAAGGATGTGAAGCGACAGATGCCCCTAAATTGTGGTCAACATAAAATCGAAAAGCAGGGGGAAATAAGATATAAAAAGCCTGTTCAGTGGAAAGATTCAGTAGTTACACTGACAAAGAATACTGGTAACAGATTTCTTATGAATTGTACTCTTTAGTCAAGGGTTTGGTCACCACATCTGCAAGTTGCTGTTCAGTTGAAACTTGATTGATTTTCAATTCTCTTTTCAGAACTTTCTCTGTTATGAATTGTATTTCAGTTCTATGTGTTTTGTTCTGCGGTAGAATGGTGAATTTTCTGCTAACTCCACTGCCGCAGACTTTGAGAGTAGGAATCAGTTGAAATTTGATTGGTGAATTGTAATATCTAGTAGGTCATCCATAAAATTTCTTTGGTAGCTTCATTTGCAGCAACAATTTCAGCTTTTGTGGTACAAGTGAAGACCATACTCTGATTTATCCAGGACACTATCCCTCTGGCAAAAATAATGACGAACTCAGAAGTAGATCTTCTTGTTTGACATCAACCTCCAAATTCCCTATCACTGAAGCATTGTGAAATCGATGTTCCTGGCATGTGGGTAATACCCAGGTGAATTGTTCCTGAAAGGTATCTATATAGACTCTTGCAACATCTTCTGATGGAGGATTTTTCCATGTTCTTCAGATATATCTCACAACAAACGCAAGGTTTGGTTTTGTTCCAACTGCCTCTCTGCAAGGAAAAATTAATTTCTGACTTTATTTCCCTATTTTTGAAATAGCAGAAATCTTCTCAACTGGTGTACTGACTGCGGTCTGCAATTGGTAAAATTGACACGTGAAAGAATTTACTTAATTTATACACTCTGACTAATTTTAATTTCACCTGCTTTGTTTTTTTCAATTCCTAAGCCTAGAAAAATGTCGCTGGTTCTGTAATAATTTTAAATTCTTGTCTCAAATCTTCAATAAAGGCTTGCGATTCTTGTGAACAAGTATCAACAGCCAAGACGTCATCAACGTAGAGAGTGGTGAGTAGTCTTTTGCCATATCTTTCTCTTACATACAAGCATTGGTCAACTTCACTTGCCTTGGAACGTAATTTTTGAAGAAATGTGTACCAATAATGTAGAGCTTTTCCTTAACTTGCAAACTTGGTCATTTTCTCAGTGGTTGTTTCATAATGTTTGTTTCATGTTCTCTTGTAGTTCTCTATAAAGAAATGTATTTGACACATTAAACTGCTGCGAAATATATTTTCGCTTGCTGCAATGCTCAAAATTGATCGTACACTTGTTAGTCTTGTAACAGAACTGAAATAGTCGTTCTAGTCAATGCCTTCTCTTTGGTTGGTTACACTATGATAAATGATATGAACTGTTCTGTACAATATTCATTATATACAATTGATCAAAATAGAAAATAAGAGATGATTTCCTCAGTCCCAATCTATCAGTTGTTAGTCACCACTGACATACCTATATTTCCCCAGGTGTCAAAAGTATGCTTCATTCTCCAACATTTCTCCCTCATTTAGTTTAAAATGTAATAATTTAGGAAGTTTGGCATTCTGCGTTCTCTTCTAAATCTAGGGGTTGCTGTTTCAGTGTCCTCTATTTCATTTGAGGCTCCATTTTTGTTAGATTTAAGACCCGATACCTATATATCTGGAGAAAACGGCGACAATGACCTGTTACATAGATATTAAACATAACATTTCCAATTTTTTCAATGATTACTCCCGGCATCCAAGTAAGTATAAGAATTTATTCAAAATATTTTTGCATATAGGTACCAAAATGTCTGGTTTGAATTCTTTATGATGATGAAAGTGTTAATCATCATGGGAAATATTTTTTCTATCTTGTGATTCTTGGTATTCATCTAGCATGCTTGATTTGTCTTATGGCATCAGCAAATCCATTACTACCTGCATTTTACTTCCCAATAAATGTTCTGCTGGGTATTTTTCATCTAGAGAACTAATATTTGGTGTAGATCTATAGGCTAGAAACTGGCTTAAATTCCTCTGGCTGTTCCTCCCTTTTCATTTTCACCAATGCTGTAATGTCTGTCTATCTGTAATGCTGTAATGAATTTTAATAGAGACAAAGTAACATGTATTTGTACCAAGAAAAATTAAAATTAAATTTAAAAGTGTTTCCTTGAACGGATTTTATAATTTATTATGGCAGCATCCGGTCGCGAAACTTTGATATATTTAGATATAGTAGATTCTCAAAGAAAATAATTTCTAAAAGCGTAGGACCCGAGGCTAGAAATGACGCAAAAATCGCGTATGAAAAGGGCATGTCCGTGGAGTTAAAGGTCAGTAAGAGAAACTCAGTGAGTCAGTGAGAAAGTAAGAACGATCAGTTAGAAGCTTGAGTTGAAAGTCGAGTAATAAGTCAGTTTCCGAAAATGTAGTAAACAGTAAATTTCGTTCTAAGTTACGATATTAGGAAATTCTTGAATTTTTTCATTCATCAATCTTGACAAAACATCTGCATGACCAAATTCTGTGGTTTTGATATATTCAATTTTAAAATCGTATGTTTTAAATACTAGAGCCCATCTCTGCAATCTGTTTGCTGTGTATAAAGGAACTCTTTTCTTTGATCCAACAATTGCTAATAATGGTGCGTGATCAGTTTGTCTGTCATTCTTACGTAAGTACCTATGTATATCATCTTGTAAAATTTCTCAACTGCAAAACTTAATGCTTAAGCCTCTTTTTCAATTTGTCTGTATCTTTTATCTGTATCTGTCAGAGTTCTAAAAACATGATAGATCGCATTTTCTGTTCTATCTTGAAACCTATGAAAAATACATTCTCTAATACCCAGACTGCTTGCGTCTACTGCTACAATGATCTGAGGTATTTTCTCGTGTCTCAAATGTTTTAAAACGTTTTTTAACAATTTCTAAGCCCAAAAAATAGATATGTCGCTGGATCTGTAGTAATTTTGAATTCTAGTCTCGAATCTCCAATAAAGACTTGCAATTCTTGTGAACAGGTAGCAGCAACCAAGACATCATCAACGCAGAGAATGAATAGTAGCCTTTTCCCATTTCTTACTCTCACATACAAAGCATTGGTCAGCTTTCATTCACCTTTAAACCTAATTTAAGTATAAGAATTTCTTCTAAATATTTTTGCATAAGCATAGCAAAGCTTCTGGTTGAAATTCTCTATGATGATGAAAGTCATGATCATCATGAAGATTATTTCTTCCATCTTGTGATCCTTGGTATTCATTTACAATGCTTGATTTGCAGTGGCGTGTTTACTATGGAAGCTAGGGAAGCACATTTCTCACACGCACACGTCTATTAAAGTCTGGACACGCCACTGTTGATTTGTCTTATTGCGGCATCCGCAAATCCATTACCATCCTCATTTTTCTTCCTGATAAATGTTCTTTTATCTGGAGAACTGGCATTTGGTGTAGACCTATATGCTGTTAGAAACTGGGCTGTTCCTCCCTTTTCATTTTCATCAATGCTCTTTTCAAAATTTCCACAAATCTTTCAGCTTGACCATTGGATTGTGCTTAGTATGGAGCTGTACGAATATGTTGAATGCGCTTCTTTAAATAATAATTCTGAAAATTTTCACTAGTAAATTATGAACCATTATCAGATACAATATAGTATTAAGAATTCTGACTCTGGAAATAATTTCGTCTCGCTTCAAAATCGTGAATTTTGAAGTTATATTTCTTGTTGTTGTGAAAACTTCTGGTCACTTGGAAAAGGCATCTATGATTAGGTACCAAATCATAAATTCCATTCACAGGACCTGAACAGTTCATGGGAAGTGTCTCCCAAACATTCTGTGCAATAGGCCAAGGGGATATCCCTTTTCTTGTGTGTATCCTGGCAGCTGCTGCACATGAAAAGCAATTTTGAATAAAAAACATCCTCGTACCATGGATAAATATCCTCTTCGTGAGTGAAACCTTGTTTTATCTGCATTTTGTTGATGTTTGAAAGGCCATGAATATTAAACGTAGTGTAAAATATGTCTCAATACAGTTTCTGCGTGTTTCCTGATACATATTTTTGAACGTGATTGGTGATGATCTCAGAGTTTCATCAAAAATATAAGAAATCTGCGACTCAACTTGCACAGAGGCAATTACTGTATCTTATCTTTCATCCATATAGACCATATATTGCTATTCATCAATCTTAACAAAACATCTACATGACCAAACTCTGTGGTTTTTATATGTATATTCAATTTTAGAATCGTATGCTTTTAATACTACTTTATGAAGGAACTCTTTTCTTTGATCCAAAAACGGTTTGTGATCAGTTTGTTTCTCAATCTTTCGCATATCATCTTGTGAAATTTCTCGACTGCAAAAACTAATGCTCAAGCTTCTTTTTCAATTTGGCTGTATCTTTTCTCTATATCTGTCAGAGTTCTATAAAAACATGATAGATCGCGTTTTCTGTTCCATCTTGAAACTTATGAAAAATAGATTCTCGAATACCCAGATTGCTTGCGTCTGCTGCTACAATGATCTGAGGTGTTTTCTCGTGTCTCAAATGTTTTAAAACGTTTTTCAAAACTGGTTTAAAACAGTGCCACATGACGCCATAACTTCTCGTCGCGAGAAAATGGTTTCAAAACGTGGATTGTATTGTATTCCGAAACAGTTCGAACCAATTTTGATGTGACGTCATGGGTTCATGGCGAGAATACCTGCTGTACTACCTGTTTTGAACAAGTTTCAAAAAAGTGAACGCGGGAAAACAGCTCTGTTGTTTTGGATTGTAGTGAGTAAGTAGAAGATCTGACTGAATTTTCTTGAACTGTTCAAATGACTTATCTTTTCAAATTTCTCGTTTTTTTTTTTTTTTCTTTTCAAAGTTTATCCAATGGGTTTCTCAAAGTATCAATACTCTTGATGAATTTTCCATAGTAATTGATGAATCCAAAAAATGATCTCAACGACGAAACATCGAGATGTGGTGGCATTCGCTAAATAGGTTCTGTTTCTCAAGGGTCTGGCTTTATACCTTGCGTATTCCGAATATGTTCCAAATATCGAATTTCTTTAACCTCAAACATACATTTCTCAACTTTTATATAAAAGCCGAAATCCTCAATTCGTTTGAGAACATTATAAAGGTTTCTGATGACATTCTTCAGAATTCTCTCCAGAAACCAGAATGTTATCGATATATGCTGCAGTACCTTGTATAATCCTGCTATCATAGGTATCCATAATATGTTGAAAAATAGACGGTGCTACTTTGATACCAAAAGGCATTCTATTATATTGAAATGGACCTCGATGTTGAATTTGGGGTGCATCACTAGGTGAGATTTTTCGAGCTGTCAAATGTATGTTTGAATCCGTCATTTCTGTTTCGGCTCCTTTGATGTTCATAGAGGTTTTAAAGTCTTAATAAGTAATGAAATACTTTGCAGTATTATCTTGTTGCCCCATTGTCGATCCACTAATCATCATTAACCATACAAGCTTCTTATGAAATCATCATCATAACTGCAACATTGGCATCTTGTTGGCTAGATTGTTTAGATTCTTGTTTCTTTAGTGGTCGGCTATCAGCTATCAATTTTTGATACACACGTAACCAGTGACACACGTTTACAGTAGTGATATGACAGGTCTCTTCGAATCATTAGCTGGTATATTATGAACTTTTGCTTGCTATTAGAGCTTCTGGAGTACTGTCTGATTTTTCACATTTGGTAAAATTTCTTTTAAAATCATAATGGAAGTGTGTTACTATTGCGCAGTAAACAGTAATAGTTTCGCGACAGTACCATCCAAACTGGATGACCCCAATATATGCCAAAACCAGTCAGGGATTTGATGTGACACTATTGATAAACATGATGAATGAAATAGGTATACTCACCCCATCATAACAAGTAACAGGACAAGCTTGCCAAGGACCCACCCACCATTTGTAAGGACACGGATCGTCATTACACGTTCGTTCCATCTTTTCCGGTCTGTCCATGTCGTCGCACATTTCCTCAGCTACAATACTGGGACTTTCCAGATCAGAAGCTACTGGTGACACTGTGCTTTCTTGGCAAAGAGGCTCCCTATGCTGCGTACCTAAACAAATGTCTTTATGAAGATAAGTTATTTGAAAGAAAAAAATAATTACCTCCCCCACAAGTAGCAGAACATTGTGACCATTCCTCCATTATCCACGAGTATTTGACTTGTTTAGTTACTTCGGGTTTCCAGATTGAATATTTCCATACAACTCCAGGATTATAGACTTTACCTCTGAAATAAATCTAGAGAAAGAGAACGAGAATAATATGGTATAAAAATAGACACAAAATCAAAATAGACCTTCGAAGTTTCAATAAAACAAATAAATTGGAAAAAGGCACACAGCACACTATAGATGATTTATTTTTTTAATGAAAACTTTGAAGTTTTAATGGAGTTTTTTTTGATATGCCTATACGATATAAATCCATTTTTATTTTGGATTTATTTGCTTTGTATTTTAATTTTCACATTGACTTTGTTTCGAAAGCATAAATCGGCACGGAAATCCAATAAACGCCACAACGATAATAATTTTAATGGTAATCAAATTTTGTAGGTTTCGACCACAAAATAACATTTCATTTCCCTATTTTATTGGACATTATTTTTGTATAAGAAATATATATCAGGTTATATTTGGATTCAGCATATATGGTATATTGAGGCCAAAAAAAATGTTTAATGGTGTAATTGGGTAGATACCTACGATCAAATCAACAAGATAATAGGTACAGATGAGAAAACATTTTACTATGTATTCCTCAAAACGATCGATATTACAATTCCCAATTTTGATGGAATTATCTATCCAGTTACGATAATTATTATTAAACTCTAATTTGTAATTTAATTGTTTCACGGGTAAAATTGACTAAGTGAAACAGAAAGTGATAATAATTGGGTTTATTAAGGGATCCAATTGGTTGAATAGGTACCTAAAATAATAATTTAGTATAAATATCAAAAATAATTCTAAAAATTCTATAAATAAAAAATTAACAAAACCTAAATGAATATTTCCATTATTAACTTTGGAAAGAACCCTTCGAAAAATCATGAATACCTAAAATCCGAATATTTTGAAATTGAATGCGCATATTTTTACTCCATTGTTTCGAGGCGTGATGTGTATCCAATTTCCATTCACAGGAGCGCTTCCCTAAACATAAAATATATTGCGGGAGCATATTATCAAAAAAGACCCAAATCTGTATAAGTTGATTAAAATAGTAGCACTGCTTCACACACTAATTGGATTAAATGGATGTTTTTGTTTGGACCCAGTCGACCTTATCTTTAGACTTTAATTATTGTTAAGGAGTCGTTATCTCTAATACCGGAGGGTTCTACAGAAATCGGCGTGGCATTTACGGTAACTCAATTTAAAGACCTCTTGGAGAAAGGATACTGGATTTAGTTGAAACAAGGATACATGGTAATACGTGTCTTTTAGTTTGATCTATTTTTGATAAAGTTGTGAGATGAATTGTTTCCCTAATTTTGATGAGGTATTTAGAAGTGTTTGCAAAACGTTGTGATATTTCAAATTCAAACGTACCGATACTAAAATAGGTTCTTGTATTGGTCCAGGAATCCTAATTTTCTCCAAATTATGCTCCCTTTCATAAAGCGCTTGTGCCCCAGCCACATTATATTCTCCAGGTAATGTTATGTGCCTAAAATAGTCTTGTTATAAATAAAAAACACACATCTTAATCTTATAAAAACTTACCTTTTCCCATTTAAATATGACTTCTTCTCCAAAGCATTCTCAATCCCAATATAATTTTCAGATTGATCATTTTCAGCAACTCTAATATTTCTTGCTCCTCTGGGTATAACAACGATTTCTCTGTATCCTGGATAACTGCTCTGTTTTTTGTATTCTCCGGCGATTATATCGCATTTGGTGCCATCGCCTTGGCAGATTCCGCATTCGTCCTCTCTAGCAGTGGAGTCTACGACCCAATCGCATCCGACTTGCTAAACATAATTTTTAAGTTAAAAAGAAATTTGATTTTACTTTTAGCCTTATTCGGCGAAGTTTGGGGGCTCTGAGGAATTTGAAAGAAACATATTTTTACCTTACATATTCCGGAAATGCATACGTCTCGGGATACAACATTGCAAGGCGTGCCATCAGCTGCATAGTCTCCCCACGGGACTATGAGAGTTTCGTTTGCATCGCTACAGTAAAGTTGGCATGGATCAGCTGAAAGGAAAACATACATTAGTTTATTTGTTGCAGGAAATTTCCTATTTCAGGAAATAATAATTTGGCTTTGCAAGCGGTGACTTGTGACTTGTCCCCAAAGAATTGTCAATTCTACGTAACTGGAATGGTGACACTGGAATGGAGGCGACATGTAAGGTAAATCGGTAAATTGGTAAATCCCTTGCATGAGACATGGGAAATTACGGTTCAAGTTTTCTGCCTGCTTATAAGCAGGCTATAGTCCAGGAAATCGGAGTCAGGAAAGGGTGTCTTGAAGAAAAAATCCCGGGTTTAGGTTTTATGACTGATCTTTATGTTTCCAGGTGTTCCGAATCCGAATTTCAAATTTGCTGCGCGTTATCGTGGTCACCTCTACCCGAAATTTGACAACTTATTTAAATATCATGGTCTTTTTCTGGTTTATCGTTTTTAAACTTTATTTATTGTTACTTGGGTAGTACTTTATGTTTTTAAATGCGCGTATATTACACTTCTGAATATCTATGGTGTTGACCTGATACGCCCCACCCCACACTTCTTCAAATTGCCCGTCGTAGTGCATAGCCAAGGTTGTTTGAGAGAGGTAGGTTGCCCGATAATTTTTATAACGTCATCTGGGGTGCCTCAACATAATGCAAAGTTCTATAAGGTACCCCAGATGACATCATCAAGTTACCCATTTTTGCCATTATCAGACAACCTTTCAACTTTAGAAACTTTGGCGCATAGCGGAGTTATGTAACATAACCATACTTTTGTTATACCTTCAGTATTCATTGCGTCGGCGCGGCGTCCTGTCGATCCTGCTCGAAGTTTTTTTAGTGCGTGTTCCGTGTTTACATGTTAGTATCGTGGTCTTATAAATGAGTGAAAAATATCCGATCGCGAGTTTTTTTTTGTGTGATAAGACTTTGAAGGACGGTTCTGCAATGAGTGTTGTGAAGAAAAAGCAGTTAGCATCATTTGTTTTGGCCAGTATAAGAAGAAATAAGGATGGTAAGGCTGAAATTTTCGAAAGAAGGGTTTCCCTAGAAGTTCATGAAAAATGTCGCAAACATTATGCGACTGATCGAAGCATGGAAGCCCATTTGAAAAGAGTCCAACTACAAGGAGGTTGCGTCGCAACTCGCTCGCATGTAGAAGTATTCAATTTTAATGCCCACTGCTTTCTGTGTGCAAAAAAAGTACCCGAAGGTTATGCCAGGCAACAGTCGAAAGCAAAAATAAAACATAGAGATCCTGTTAATGTTGTGACGTCTTTGGAAATGAAGGATAAAATTTTGAATCGTTTGACCGGCTATGATACTGAGTTTGCTAACAACATACGCAGACGGGTTCTGCCAGTGTGTGACTAACCTGCAGCTAACGCCAAGTATCATAGGACGTGCTTAAAGAAGGTATACTTACCACTGGAATAGGTACCCTAAATTCATCACAACCGGCTGGCAGACCTCGTAGCGATGTTGATCATGTAATGACATCAATTTACACATTTTTTGAAAACAATGATGAAGAATGTCAATTTCCATGGACGAACTCATCAGCAAAATTGAAAGCGATACCATACCATATTCCAAGACCATAAGAGTTGGACTGATTGAAAAATATGGAAGTGACATATTTGTATCATCAAGCACCTACCCCCTACGTTGTTTGCTTTAAAAACACCGGCCACAAGATCATTGCAGATGCATGGTACCGGCAAAAGAGAGGATCTGAAGAAGAAGAAAGACTTCGGATTGTGGAAACAGCAGCTGCTATAATCGCAGAAGGTATACGTAGGCAAGTTCACCACTCGGTATCCTTCCCCACCTGATATTTTGGAAGGAACAAAAGACCTAATCCCGGAGACTCTCAGAGTGTTTACTGAGACTGTCATTCTACACAAAAAACGGAGTGGTTTTGATAAGTGGTCCTGGAAAGCGACATCAATTGCACATTGTCTAATGGAGTTAGGCCACATTCGTTTTTGTCTTTGCTACAGGTCAATACAAAAAGTATGGCTCGCGGATTTTGATCGATGTGCTATCAACATTGGGCCTCTGTGCGTCGTACAATGAAGCAAAGAAATTCGAAATATTAGCCATAATGCAGCCTCCGATGGTGCTAAACAAATAGGCCCTTTCCCAAATAGTATTGGACAATGCAGACTTTAACGTACAAACGTTAGATGGATGGAACACGTTTCATTCAATGGGATGGATCGTGTGTGTGACGCCTAAATCAGCAGTGGCTCGTAGTCAGGAGATAGATCGCATTACACGAATTCCTGAAGCAGAAGAGGTTGCAAGAGTAGGCACAGTCAGCTTACAACATTTTGAACGTTTAAACGATGTAGGATTATCAGCAACCACTTTTAAAAAATTCACTGAAATGTATCCCCATATCACATACTCCAAGTCAATTATTCCTACAACGCCTCATTTGTTTTAGCTCTTCTATGAATGTAAGGAGCTTCCTGTGGTTCCAGGATGGAATGGATTCATACAAGAGGTTCCAAAATCTCTCCCATATGAAACAACATGCGTTTCCTGTCTACCATTTATTATTGCCACTCCCAGCGATTATGACACCATATATACTGCATTGTTGAATGAATGCTGTTGAAAAAAACCAGGGCATTTGGGCAGCAAACCGTGTTCATTACATTTGATCAGCCAATGTATTTAAAAGCCAGAGAGATTGTGGCAAGTCGAGCTAGTGATCCTGAACTTGCAGGCGTTGTGGTTCGTCTTGGCAGATTTCACCTATTGATGTCTTTCCTAGGGGCAATCGGGCACATTATGGATGGCAGTGGCCTCGCAGAGCTTTTTGATGTGGTGTTTGCTGTTAACAGCACCAATCAAATAATGACTGGTCATGCCTACGCTAGAGCAGTTCGTGCTCATATTATGGCACACACTATCCTGTCTAAGCTCATAATGGAGAATATCACCTTTTCGTTCGAAACTAGAGAAGAATAAGAGCGGCTACTGTATGAAAGCAACCTTACGTAACTCCTGAACACTAATCTGGAGTGTACAACAAAAGTGGCACAACAATTCGAGGATGAGAAGATAAACCGTTTGGGTAGTCTTGGGCCAACGGCCAAATTGTGGACTCAGTACCTGGAAATGGTCACACTTCTGATGAGGTTTATTCGGTCAGAAAGATTGGGAGACTGGCATTTACACCTAGGAACAATCTGCAACATGACCCCGTACTTTCACGCGAGTGGCCATTTCTTGTAAGTATGCCAAATGTGCACACTTATATCTGCAAGACATGCAAGGGCTGCAGAAAATGATGCCACCAGATGAATTTGCATCTTTCACGTCGAAAAGTGGCTTCACCATCAAACGAGGAGACCATTTGTGGTGCGGCACGTGGAGTGACATGACAATTGAATAGTTTCTGATGAAGCAGATGAAGACAGACGGAGGACTGACTCGAGGCCGAGGAGTCAGCGATGCCATATTATCTAGGTGAACACAAGGAATGGCTGCTTTTCAAGAATTGTGCGATGTGATAGAATCGTTCTTCTGCATAAGATTTGGTACGAAGGAGCAACATGTTGACAGCAGGGACAGCAGATTCAGACGAGACGATGAGGACATGAAGAAGATGTTAAAATGGTTTCGCAACCATCCACCTTTCTTGCTCCCTAAAGAAATATTATCCATCGGTTCAGGGGTCATCGGAGATTCCAAAACAATTACTTGCGACATGGCTTAAGAACATGGCGTCAAAAGAATGGAGAACGTCAAGACAGAGAATGGGACAGGACAAAAAATTAGGGACTGTCAAGTACAAGAGAAGTGATCGAGTGTTACCTCTTGCAGTTGTCAGCACTGCACTTGTAATTTATGACCGGCCTGTTCCCATAAAACCTTTGACTCTCTTTCAAAGAATCAGCGTTGCCAAGCAGTCTGAGGAGGAGTTGCAAAAGGTCTCAACATACGAACTCTGTCCATGGGCATAGGAAAGTAAACCAAATCAACTTTCTACAAGGCTTTCCGATCGATGGCTAACATCTCTACCTTGGATCATGAAACACTGAATGTGATAGATGGTGGATTCCTGTTACATCGAGTTGTATTGGCCATCAAACTCAAGTTTCTTCTGTGATATCAGTCGCAGCTACATTCATTACGTTAAGTGCAAGTACAAGTCTAATTCCGTAATAGAAGTCGATGACTACCCCGATGATGATCATCTTAGAACGAGAGGGATTTCATTGTGGTAATTCAGTGTACACAATCGCGGTAATTAGTGGAAATTTAACAGGAAATGAGTGGCAATGACTGGAAATTAGGGGAGATATAGTGGTAATTAGTGGAATTATAGTGGTAATTCGGGGTAATTTTTGGTAATTTAAGGCAATTTTGGGGTAATTAAAGGAAATTTTGTGAAAATAACTCGAAGTTCTGTAGTGATAAATTTATGATATGCGTTCGAGTTTGCTTTAATTTAGAAGCAACAGAGCTATTCAACTGAGCTTTTTTAAGTAAAATATTCTCTAGTCTCTAGTCCTTATTAGTCAGTTAGAAACATCAACTTCCATTTTCTAAGGAATGTTTCATTTGACGAGGTTTCATTAGGTACAGTCGGAATCATTGCAATTGGCACACACTCTTTAAAATCCCCCGTATTAAGTCAAAATTCTAACCAATAAATCTATTTAGTGCAGCATTTTGCTATTAATGTGTGTCAGATTTGACACATTACGAGGGATATTTACATAGTGTGTGCCAATTGCAATGATTTCCACTGTACATGGAGAAGTAGCAACCTTGCAATAGTTCAACACTTGGTTTGACATCATCCATGTACGTCATTTTCACTGCCCATTTTAAACTTTCAGTTTCAAGGTCTCGTTTCATTTAAGGCCCAGTTTTGTGTTTCAGTGTTTCTAAATCTAAAATAAAAGGTAAATGTGATAGATAGAATGCATTCTTGTTATATTATTAGGTTTGTTCCAACCGACATGAGAACCGTTCCACTCGATCAATTCGGCA